ATAAGCTTAAAAATGGAAAACACTTTTGACTCTTTCTGGGGTTCTAGGGACAAAGTGTTTGCTGTGCTCGTCTCTTTCTCTATCACTTTCACCTTAAGAATGAAACATGTCCCATACATGTCTTGCGTTGGAAATGCATTATTATCTTCCTACCACTACTGGCTTTGAGAGTCGGAGTGTGGTATTTCAACATGATTTTAACTTTTTATGTTTCATTAAAGACTCTAAGGGTCCCCATGAGCAGCCATCTTTACCAGCAAACTTGTCCCCCATGCTTACTTACTGCTTACCCCTCTCCACATGTTATGAGTACATCATGGGTTAAGCAAGTAGATCATCATCGCCCTGATGATATTGGTAGCTTAGCAGTGATTACCAACTGGTGATTCAGATTCGGCCTACGAGTTTACCGACATGCAACTGGTGATTCGTATTTGACTCCAATAACTGTGACCAACTGACTTTTTTTCCTGTCCCGTTATACCGCTAAATTAATATTCCACGTAAGGGCTCAATGATACATACATATATATAAGCATTTTCCTTAATAAAGTTTCGATTTCCAAAGCATTCAAAGACATTTCATGTTATATTCACACTTAAGTACTCGTGTAATTCACTGACAGGGACGCCTAGCAAGCTTAACTAACACATTACTGACCAATGGAGAATCCAAGAACTTTTCTTTGTCAGAGTGGAAAAATATAATCAGCTGGCTACGTACCTTAAACTCTTTGAGGCATTTCTTCGAGCAGCTTGTCTTCGTCATAACAAGAAGCATATCAGTGCATCAACCTTTCATTCACAGCGAAATAGAGAAAAACCAAAGATTACTTTTGAGTGTCCACAGAATCACATTGCCCACATGGGTTCTGAAATCATTTATGAGCCTGATCGTCCATGTTATTCAAATGGGCTTCAAAATAATCAGGCCGAGCCCATTTTAGTATAATCTTATTTTTCAGTTATCAAGTTCATTCAGTTGCAACTTTCCCGCTCGAAAAACAACCACCCTAGGCCTAGAGCTGAAGAAATTTTAGTATTGCTACGGCACAGCATCCTCCCTTAGGAAATTCTCTGTCTCTCTCGAAACCCTTCTAATGGCATTGAGTTTTTCTTTGCCATCAATAATCATCTTTATTTTTGAATAATGTCACTCTTACCACATTTGTATACTACATTTCCATGTCATCTTATGTGGCAGATGAGGTGGACAACCACATCAATTAAAATTGAGTAATGCTACACTTACCACATTTTTATCCTACATTTCTATACCACATGATGTGGCATGTCCATATTATATGTCACATCAATTAAATCAATTAAGTGTATTTTAATTAAGACAATTAGAAAAACAAATAGTGGAATAAATCATAAAAGAAAAGAAAATATTAAATAATTTTAATTGACGTGGCTGTCCACCTCAGCTGCCACATAAGATGGTATAGGGATGTGGTATACAAATGCGGTAAGAGTAGCATTATTCTAAAATTATTTAATATTTTATTTTATTTTATGATTTATTAACACTTTAAAAAAAAACTGTCAATTAAACTTTCTTTATTAAAATACACTTCATTGCTTTAATTAATGTGATTTAATTAATGTGGGATAAAAATATGGTAAGTGTAGCATTTCTCTTATTTGTATACTAAAACATTGGGATGTGATTATGTTAAAGGGTTAACAAATTAGTAATTCTTTTTAATACAAGCGATAGTCAAAGGAGAGGGGGTTTCTCTCACACACAATACCAAGGTGTTATGGGGGGTTGAACATGAGACCACTGATCTGCAAGTCAAGACTCTTTTCCATTTGAATAGACCCTGTTGGCAACAAATTAGTATTTTTGTTACTATAATTACTATAAAATTGTCATTCATTATGTTTATGATATAGAGATTTTAAGGATTGTACTCAAGTTTGAGTCCCTCTCTTTGGTAGTGTAGATAATTCAGAGTAGTGTAGATTATCACTTGTATAAAATAAAATAAAAATTTATTAATTAAAAAAAAAAAAAAAAAAAAAAAAAAAAAAAAAAAAAAACAAACAATAAATAAATAAACATATGCATGATAGAAAAGTCTTTTGATAAATATAATCGTAATATATATGTCATATATATAAATAAAAACTTTAAGTCTCATGTAATTTCCGATATGACCCGTTATACGATTCGAAACCCGCACAGAGAAAACAAGACACGAACCCGCACAATAAAAAATTGGGTCATTTTCGAGTCAACATGTCATGACCTGTTTAATAAACAGGTGGGTTTCGAGTCAACCCGCGAACCCATTAAAACACATGTTTGTTTATTAAACACGTCGTCAACCCGTGTAATATTTGCCAACCAGCTAAAAAATGAAAGGAAATGGAGACTTGAGCGCGCACACACAAGGGATTGCCACTTTCATTCCTCTCAAACACCTTATTCACCATGTTGCAAACAACTTTGTGATTATATGCTACACCATTTGATATTTATAATGTTTCCACAAGTTGTTTTTCAAAGTAGTAGAATTGAATTTTATTTTATTTTATTTTAATTTTTGGGTCTGGACAAAGAAGTGTAATTTCACATGTATATAATTTGATATTTATATTTATAACAAGTATATGCATAACTATTTTAGTAATTTACACATGTTTCTTTACGCATCATAACCAATTCTCACATTATTGTGATCATGTAAAAATTCTTTGCTTTTGCCAATCAACAAAACAAAAAACAAAAAATACTCATGTCTAATTTTTTTTTTTCTTTTAAGCTCTCATATCATTATCATCAATCTCAATCTCTCTCTATGGTTTCTCCTACTAAAAAAACAATTGATGGAGTTGTTCAAAACTGAATTCCACTAGTTACTAGTTGCTATCATTTTTTATTAAACAAATTATTAACAATGTAACCTGTTTAAGACAACCCGAATCCGACACAACATGTTTATTAAATAGGTCAGGTTCGGGTTGAGCATTCTTGACACGTTTATTATCCCAACACACACGAACCTGACACAATATGACTCATTACCAGCTCTACACGTAATAAAAAAACAGCATATCGCACAGGCGAAAATGCGTACAGAGAGACTAGTCCTTAATGAAAAGAGTTGAAATCATACAACCTAGTAAATTTTCTATTTTTTCTCTTGGTTTTTGGAGAAGAAGAAATGACATAAACATAATATGCTTGGGTTCCTGCCGAGAAGGATTTTGATCTCACGTTTATTGTATGCTCCACCTACCAATCATGTCAATTAGAATTTCGTAGTGCCAGATGATAAACCTGAATCAAAATTACAGTTGTGAGGCGTGTTGTATGTATCCATTAATTGTTTAGAGAGAGAGAGAGAGAGAGAGAGAGAGAGAATTGAGTATGATTCCCACGATAAAAGAAAGTGGCAAGAGTAGCAGCAAGCATAGAGCCTCTGAATTAGGCATCTAAACACCCCAAAATAAGGTCCATGTCCCAATCCAATCCAACACTTGAAATTAATCTTTCAAATAATATCGAGTGTCCTGCAATCTGTATGCTAATTAACATAACATGTGCTCTTAAACTTGTCTATCTACATCTATATTTCTCTCTTCTCTCACACATACATATACACTAGTTGTACACACTCACACAAACAAAATATCAAAACCTTATATATATGTACTATATTATATATATACCTTGTTCTAGGGAGAGAATTCCCAATACACACGTAAAAAAATATATGGTGCTTTTGAGGACACCCAAACAAAATGGAGGAAGTTCTCTTCTGTTAATGCAGACAATTTGTTGAACCATGAAAAGCACATGATTAAACTGCCAACCCTAACCATCCAAAGTCATCCTTCTAATAAAGAGATGGATTACAGAGGCCGCTGGTCATGAGAGAAATATAATACCAGATTAAGAAAAATGCATTTAAGGTCAAGGACTTCTCTCATCCTTCCATATTAAGCGCTTCCCCTCACAATCGTACGCGCGACAGATACTTCTTAAGGTAATTATGAACTTTTCTTGTTTTCTTTTGAATTTTATAGCAAGTCTTTTGCTTTTTCTAACGAAGGTACATAATAACTCATGTGGTCCATATAATTTTGCTCAGAGTCCTAGATGTAGCTAGATATTCTACAAGACGAACAGATGAAGATGATATCATATAGGTTACCAATCAGCTGTCTGAGCTGACTTCTGCACTCCCATGTATTTTGTTGAATATAGCTAGTGCAGATCATTATAAAGATTATAAGCTTAGCAAAATGATACATGGCATGTGATGTACTTAATGGATTCTCCTCCATCCAGTTTCAATTGGATCTTTTTATGCCTGAAAACTAGTGGCTAAGATATATTGTTGTACTGGTTTGACATTAATTTGATTGATTGTATGGAATGAGCGTGTCATTAATTTTACTTGTTCAAGTTAACGCCGAGAAAAGCAAAGAGGGTACCTAGTAGGGGAGTTTGCGTCAAAAAATTTAATAGGTTTCAAATCAACATCCCATTTTTTGTCACATGAGCTGTATTTGAAGATGAAGAAACACCACCTTTCTTGGTAATAATATTAATGGCTGTGGGGGATTGAAAGCTTAGATAAATGTATTTGCCACTCATAAGTAGTGTAGATCAAAAGAAGATTGCAAAACATGTCCAGCTCCTAGCCTAGTTCTAGTCCTATAGCTATAGGATTGCTACGTACATAATTTCAGACATTAATATTAACTAAACAGCATTAGACTGATGATGTGATAAGATTAAACAATTAATCATCTCAGATCAACTGCATATATTTTTCTTCTTCAATCTCTCCATGATCAAGCCTTTTGTGTTGTTATCCAAAAGTATGATCATCTTCTTGTATAGGGCCCTAATTAGAAACAGGTGGGTGATCTCAGGAAAGAGGCTGATCGCGGGAATATTTCGTTATTTGATACTGTGTGCAGGGCGGTTGTGGCGACTTGAAAACGACCGTGACTATTCAGGCAGGAAGAAAATCATCATGAGGGGAAAACAGGTTTCAGGAAGAGCCACGTTGGTGCTATGTCTTGCAAGTTTTCTTGCAGGATCACTGTTTTGTGCTAGCCGCATGACATGGACCACTCAACCATCTTCTGATCCGAACAAAGAAGCTCATCAATTTCCCATCATTTCCAACCAGTTGAAGAAGCTAGAGGCCTCTGTCAAACAAGATTGTGATCACAAGCGGGTAAGTATTATTACTCTCATCAATAGTCAACAATATACGTTACATATCTATATAGCTGTTATTCATTTTTCAATATGATGAGACAGTTCACGTGTAAGTTAACACATGCAATCTGATATCCATCATATGATCAATTGGAAAGTTGATTGTGCATCTTCTTTTCATTCGTTTTTCAACTTAGTCAATGTGACATCTTGCTTATTTATTTTGAGCACTGGCTAGCTACTAATTTTCTTCTTCTTTCCCCTTTTTGAATCAGAAATTGGTTGAAGGAAAATCGGAAGATGACATTATGGGGGAGGTGACAAAAACCCATCAAGCTATCCAGTAAACTCTATACAACAATATTTATCTCTCTCTCTCTCTCTCTCTCTCTCTCTCTCTCTCTCTTCATACATTCGTTATAGTAGATTAATCTTATTAACTGTTCTGTTCTTGTTTATAAATTATATTGAAAAAACAGATCACTGGATAAAACAATTTCAAGGTTGGAAACGGAATTAGCAGCAGCAAGAGCAAACCAAAGATTAGATGGACAAGTTAAGTTAGACGGAGCATCAAACAATGCCAGTCCTCCTAAACAAAAAGCTTTTGTTGTCATTGGAATCAACACAGCTTTTAGCAGCAAGAAACGACGAAAAACAGTTCGAGAAACCTGGATGCCTAAAGGTGGTTGTTATAAATTTCCAAAGAAAGAACATATCAATGTTAATGGAATGGAATTATAATTTATATATTTGATGGGTGCAGGAGATGAGCTAAAGAAGCTGGAGAAGGAGAAAGGGATTGTTATAAGGTTCGTGATAGGGCAGAGTGCCACGGCGGGGGGCATGCTTGATAGAGCAATTGAAGCAGAAGAGGCAGAGCACAAGGACTTCCTTAGGCTCAACCACGTGGAGGGCTACCATGAGCTCTCCACCAAGACCCGCTTGTATTTCTCCACTGCCATCTCCATTTGGGATGCTGACTTTTATGTTAAGGTCGACGATGATGTCCATGTTAATCTCGGTATGTAAATACTTTTGCTAGCTACAAGCCTGCAACTAAATTCAGTCAACAAGTTCAAAAGAATATTAATTGGGTTTGAACTTTGATTTGGTGCAGGTACGCTAGTGAGCGCACTTGCAAGCCACCGGTCCAAACCCAGAATTTATATTGGTTGCATGAAGTCAGGCCCAGTTCTTTTTCACAAGTGAGAATATTTTTCACTTCTTCTTCTCTTCCTTCCAAAGAATTAGAGTCCAGCTAAACGAGATTAATTAAGAAAACAAGAATGTAATATTACAAATTGTGGGTGCAGAGGGGGTCAAATATCACGAGCCGGAGTATTGGAAATTTGGTGAAGAAGGAAACAAGTATTTCAGGCATGCCACTGGCCAAATCTATGCTATCTCTAAGGACCTGGCTGCCTACATCTCCATCAATTTGTGAGCACATTTTAATCACTCACTTTGTTAATTTGTTTTTCCTTTTTCATTTCTTTGGTTGGGCTGCAATTAACAATGACATATGCATGGGACATTGTCAGGCCCATATTGCATAGGTATGCCAATGAGGATGTATCACTGGGCGCCTGGTTAATTGGCCTTGAAGTTGAACATGTGGACGACCGCTCCATGTGTTGTGGGACCCCTACAGGTATTCTCTACTTGCCATATCACTTGATTGGTGTCTATTGTATTACGCATAGTGAATTACTCAAGTAAAGGGATGATTAATGATGTTGTTAGTGATGTGACGATAGTTGAATTTGTGTTATATGTACAGAATGCGAAAGGAGGGCAGAAGCAGGTAACGTATGCGTGGCTTCATTCGATTGGAAGTGCAGCGGGATATGTGATTCTGTGGAGAGGATGAAAGACGTGCACAACTTGTGCGGGGAGGGAAATGGTGCTGTTTGGAACATTGATCTTTGATTTCAATACCTATTAATATTATATATATATGGTCTACTTCTACTCTAGAGACTAAAGATGAAAATAGAGAGAGAGAGAGAGTGATAAGAGTTACAAAATCCTCGCCAACTTTATTAATTTTTTTGAAAGATTTTGTGTACCTCTTTTGTCTTGTTTGTTTTACATTTTAGTGACACTAATGTTATAATGGAATAAATATGAGGGATATGCATTGCAATATTCTTATGTTAGTTTTTATTTATTTTTAATAAATACTGCTTGGCTTGACTCCTGAGAGCATCTTCAACCGATATGTTAAATTGTCACATGGACATGAAATGACAAAAACTGAATGTTAAAGTTGCTCCAACCGAGTAGTCAAATCTTACATGAATTTGAAGGTTGGAAGAAATATGTCAAAAATAACATATCAAAAAGCTTGATGTTAAATATTTTTTAATATTTTTTTAGTATGAACCCCATTATCATTTACTCTCTTTTAAAACTTTATATATTATATGAATCCCATTTGTTTTTAAAAACATAAGTCATCAAATTCAAATTTAACATTCTCCGTTCAACATCTGCCGTGTAGAAGGAGATGCTCTAATAGTAAATTAGTAATAGATAAAGTGTTTTTATTTAAGCAAATTTATGTACTGTGAATGAAACTTTGATTTGGCCGTAAACAGAAAATAAATCCTGAGTCGCTCAATATGGGAAAGAAGCAGCTTGGAGAAACAAAAGCAAACAAGAGATAAAACCAAAATAATTACTCATCATGCTATAGGTATAGGGTGGTGGGGTCGGGGTGGTGGTGGGGTCAGATAAATACATGTGTAGGGCCAGAAAGGTCCAAAAGGGTTTTGCAAAGAAGAGGTTATTGGTCCAAGAATGCCGAAGACCGAAGACCGACTTTTGTTTTCCCATAGAAATTAAATACGATTATAAATATGAATTAAAAGAAAAGCATAAGAAAAGTGGGAAGGTGGGAATAGAAAAGGAAACAGAAGGCGAAGGAACCGCCATACGAAACCTTGGGATTTTAGAATTTCTCCTTCTCTCCTTCTCCCTATAAATACGACTAGCAAATAAAAAAGTAAGACATAGCAAAGCAAAAACGCAGGAGCAGTTGAGGAAAGCGCTTCCCCTTCCCCCCTTGTTTATCTAGATTAATCTAATAGTCTTTATAATAAAAATATTGTAAGACTGATTTATTATTAGCGACCGATTTCCCTCTCCTCTCCTCTCCTCGCGTCTCTCTTCTTATTTTATTTATTTCTTTATTTGTGAATGTGTGTGAAGAAGTTTTGAGAGAGAGTTTTGAATTTAACACACAACAGCAGCAGCAGCAGCAAATCACTAACAAAACTAAACAAAGTACCAAATACGAAACCAGATCTACTATGGTCATGACCGAGAGACCTGCCAAGCGGCTCAGGAGGAGGGTGACCGCTGATCTCCCGGACTTTTTCACCTTCCCTCAGCCCCACAGCGACGTCGTTCCCCCACAGCCCTTCCGTGAGAGCGTCCGCAGCTTCCTCATTCGTCACGCGCACGTCACGTGCCCATCCTCCTCGTTGTTCCCGTCCTTGGTCACCTCACAGATCTCGCTCCGGGTCGGGCATCCGGGCGACCCGACCGCCGTTCTTCCCTTGGACGTCGTCGAGGAGGACGTCACCCGCTCCAGACGATCCGTCTACTGCGACCAGTGCCGAGTCGTTGGTGAGTCCACTCACCGACTCTCTCTCTCACTCTCACTCTCTCTCTCTCTCTCTCTCTCATAGACGTAGACATACGTACATTCAGATGGATGCTTTGCTTTACTCTCTCTCGCTTTTTTGTTTTTGTTCGTAGAATATGTATTTTTATTTTGAGCTTTGGATAATGTTTTCGTTTGCTTTCTTTGACAAAAATTTTACGTTTGCTTCCTTCCTTTGACAAAAATTTTACGTTTGCTTCCTTTGACAAAAATACAAACAATAGGTTGGAGTGGGCATCCGGTGTGCAAAAAACGATACCATTTCATAATAAGAAGACGCGCTGGGACTTGTGAGACTGAGATTCCCTTGCACCAGCAGCAGCAGCAACAACAATACAACAACAAAAGTAACAACTGTTGCAATTCTATGAGTGCGACAATGGAGGATACGGATGATGTTGAAGAGTGGGCGTATCTTCAACTTCATGATAATACTCATCTTCTCCATGCCGTCATTCACTCCAACGGCTTTGCCCACCTTCTAACCCTCAACGGCAGACAAGGAGGCTCCACCCTTCTCTCTGGCCGTCACATTTTGGACTTGTGGGATAGGCTCTGTCAAACCCTCTCTGTCAGGTCCATAATTCCTTCCTTACTAGCCTTTACTTCAAGTCATTGTCAAAATTATAATCATTCTCGCTGTTATAATTATTTTTGATTGGGATATAAATGGGAAGTGATACTGAATTGCATTACATGTTTTGAACTTGAACAATGAACAGAAAAGTTAGTGTGATGGATGTTTCGAAGAAGTATGGGATGGAGTATCGATTGCTGCACACAATCATCAACGGCCATTCTTGGTATGGAGATTGGGGCTATGAATTTGGTGCTGGGAGCTATGCTCTCACTCAAGATTCTTACCACAAAGCAGTGGATACCCTGTCCAGCTTGCCTTTGCACCCTTTTCTATTCCAACCAAGGAGACCCCGGACTCGCATGCAGTCTGTTATTGCTTTTTACCAATCTTTATCCGATACCCAACTACCAACAATCAAGGATCTTTTTACATACATGTTGAGTCTCATCCATAGATCTCGCAAGCCCACATCATGTAAGAAACCCCAGCATCACACTTCCAATGCTTTATGTGCGTGGACGGCCAATGATGTCGAACATGTGCAACAAGCTATGATCAAGCTGCTACTTGCAGCAGTTGGTGTTGGAGAGGATAGCTGGGTGTCAAAGCGTGCCCTCAGGGCCGCATTGTACAAGAGTTCCTCTCCGGAGCTTCTTGATTACAGCCTTAAACACCTGGGAGGGAAGTTGGCAGCTAATGGTATGGTAATTAAGGCCCGCTGCAGTCCCGCTTCAATTGATGTAGAATACAGGTAAAGAGACCAGCATTGTTTGGTTCACTTGCTTTTGTCAACTTATACATGCTTTGAGTCCTGACACTCATTATGGTAACAGGCTTGAGCCATTGATTATTGGGAACGTTGATGGATCTGAGGATTTGAATTATCCATCGGAAGAGCAAATCCTCTGTGACCTCAAATTTTTATATGATTCCATTATCCACCCTGACACCATGCTAAGCTATACACCTCAAGTGATGAGGGAACGTGTTATTGACGCAGCAACTAAGCTTCTCGATTGCAAGCAATTTGTTAAGGACTACATGCCTGATAAAATGGCAGCGGAAAGCTCCTTTGGCATTCACCTCTGGTGTCATGTGGAGCTTTCAGATGAACCCAAAGATGATTTGGTCCTGCCTCCAGAATTGATTGTCTTGCCCTTGAATGCAACCGTTGCTGACCTTAAAAGGGAAGCTACCATAGCCTTCCAGGAAGCATATGCCATGTTTAAAAGGTTTGAAGTTGAGGAATTGCTTGAATATGGCTCTATAAATGATTCATTTACAGTGAAACTTCTGGTTGGAACATGTGGCTCGATTCGTTTAAAAGGGAGATGCCCTGCAAAACATGGGCTTAACCGTTTCCGGATGGAGAGAGGACTTGAAAGCTGGACCGTTGATTGCACATGTGGGGCCAAGGATGATGATGGGGAGAGGATGTTGGCTTGTGATACATGTGGTGTTTGGCAGCACACAAGGTGTGCCGGGATTCATAGCTCTGATGCGATCCCTGCAAGGTTTGTTTGCATGAGATGTGTAATCTCATACCGCAAGAAAAGCCAAAACATCAATGATCCTGCCAAGGAAGCTAATATTAGTGCCCCCTTCTCCAACACAACTTGCAGAGCTAAGGCATCTGCAACTGATAGTCCAAGCGTTGCATCTAACATGAACATGACATTTAGTGTACTTTGATTGTAATATTAACCTTATGTACAGATGGCATTTGGTAGGTTTTCGAAGGGGGCAGATTTTTTCACGTTTTAGGAGTTCCTTGCGAACTTTGCCCCATCGCCTCATTTTGAGAGGAGTTTTTTTTTGTCTCTGTATATAGCTCAATGAAAAAGAAAAAACAAATATTTATTGTGTTGCTAAAATTTTCAGTCATGGTTACTGATCTTGAAAAATGCAATAGGTACAGAATTACCTCTTCATTGCCCTACTCTTTGATCAGAATTCTTACCTGTTTTCTCGGGCTGTGTTAAGAAAACATTTCTAGCTTCTAAATTAGTGACATGGGGTTCTGTCCTAGAAAGAGAAAGGTGTTTAACGGCTGTGCAGAGACCAGTATACTTGGTAACAACTTGTTTGTACACACTCAGCAACCTCTCCACATCTCCAATTGTCAAATCCCCAGCCTCTTTGTCCATATAAGGGTAATTTGATGCACCTGTAGTTTTCAATAGAATGTTTAGATGGAATATAATAACCAAAAGTATAACAAACGAATATTTCTAATGGTTGATACATTTATCTGCAAAGTTTTGGATGGAATATAACAACCAAATAATTTTATCCCCTTCTATCCGCATACCTAACTCCTATTATTTAAGAGTGGTAATTTCCCCACTCCAATTTTATCCACTTACACTCTATTTTATAACTAAAAAAGGAGTGTAAGTGGATAAAATTGGATTGGGGAAATCATTACTTAAAAACAAGTAAAAACGAGAGGGAAAGAACAATTGAAGTAGCCCATTATGTCTCTTTAAGGGGACAACTCGATCGCTAAAGTCATGCGGTTCTCTCACAACGGTTGGTATTGGTTGCATGTATTGTACTATGTAATTTAGAAAGGAAAGAAAAAATTATACTATTTAAGCTTGTGATTTGATGATGTTCAATCACAATGCATTATCTTAGTAATCCTACACCAATTAAAATTATCAGGCGGATTTGAACACCACAACTAAGGACTGAAGAAAGGGTAACCTTTAGGAAAATTAACAACATAGTTTGAAACATACCACTTGTTTCTTTATCATGTGATCTTGCTGAAGGGCCAGGATCGGTCTGGCCTTGCGAGGTTGTCCTTTCTTCCAAAGTGGGCGTGGCTTCCTTTTCTGTCTCTTTATTGGTCGTTCTTGCTGCTTGCATGCTCTCTTCAAATTCGATTTCATCGATAGAAAGAGATTTAGCATTTAATTCAAAAATAAATGTTTTGGCTGAGACAAGATTGGTGAGGTAATAGGCCGCTTCAGACACAAGTTTTGTCTGCCTTCGATATAACTGAATGAATTTGAGGTTGGAATGCAATTGTGGAGGATTGGCCTGTTAGTACAAAGACAAAAGACTTAGTAACTTGTGATGCAGCACAAAGGAAATCAAGCTACAGCTAAGGGGACATTTCTTCTAAGACTTGAAATGATTCATCAACATCAAACACCAAATTCTTAATTAAATAACTCAAAAGTCAAAACAAGTGCGAACACTGAAGGCACGCGAATATAAATGTAGCTATGAAGGATTCTATCAGACTAAGAATTATTAATTTGTTGATAAGCAATGACTTCTTATTTAACTTTTGGTACAAGAATGCCACAACACATAAGAAATGCCACTAATTTTACTAAAGTAATCTACACGATCCTGGACAGTAAGAGAATATTATCCAATGACTTCATCAATTTGTATGTGGTAAGAAAAACATTATTCTGATGTTGCTAAGAAGACAATCAATATTAAGAAAATATCATATTCTAGCGCACACAGCAGGACCAAACAAATAAACTAAAGAAAAAGAGAGAAGTTTATATTTCAGGCATGTGAAGGCACAATTTTCAAATATAGTATCACATCAAACTGTTAAAAGTTGAAACACACAGGGATCAAAGTTAACAACCGGACATGATTAATAGAATGGCTTATTACCAAGGAGAGCTTGCCTTGATCATAACATATATAAGGACAGGAAGAAAGTCATCAGCTCCTGCCAGTACATGATTTTCTGACATTGATGCATTCAACAATAAATTGTTGATGACCTTGCAACAGTTCATAACACACAGAAGCTTCTCACGAGGGGCTTTGAAAGCATTAATTTTCTGCAATTCTTTTTCTGCAAGCTGAATAAAAAGAGAATTATGTCCTTGCTGCTTATCAGGAATAAGTCAAATATCTTCAAAAAAAAAAAAAAAAAAAAAAAAAAAAAAGAGAAAATCAAATCAATATAAAAACGAAAACAAGAAAGGATGACTTAAATTGAAAACAAAAAAACAAAAGAGTGAAACTAACAAAAGCAATTATAAAACACTTTTACGAATCTAGTTCTCTGAATGGCCATTCGTCTTCATAACACCAATCTATTCAACAAACATCTAAGAGGGAGGAGGCTATTATCCATGATTCTACACATTATTCAAACCAACGAAGTTCTTTTAAGAGTATTTATTATCTCCAACTAAATGTAATCAGATAACTTATTTGTATGCATCCGTGGAACAAAATCGTAACATATGTCACTTTTACATAAATGTATGCTACGTCCTGTTTGTAGTCTATAGATTTTTATCTACTGCTATTGAAATCAATGTATGATGCACTTAAATTCCATTACTTTCATACCTCTCATGTATGTGGTTTATATATCTATAACATGTGACACACAAAGTGATACAAAAGTACAAAGTGAGAAATAAGCACCATCCCTCTACAAAGTAATAAGGGGAAGAGAAAAAAAAAGAGGAAAGAGCAGTAATATCCTTTTTGCTTATACGTAACAAATGGTTGAAATCAAAAGCTGTTACAAGTTTGAACCTAAGCTGCAAACATATACATGTGCTTAACTTAAAATTTTGAATTCCATACTGTACACATTCTTTCATATTTTAGTTGTGTGCAGGCAGGGAAACAAGGCTGTTGTTTTGGTGTTTTTAGTTCATAAAGGGAATCAGACCTCCCCTGTTAAAAAATGAAACAATTTCAGTTCTAAATACTACCATTTCTCAGCAAATGTTGTCTACTGAACACAGTCACTCAAACTGAAAACACAAGGTGAAATAATCAATCTTGAACTAGGAAAAATGATTATTAAGTTTCACTTTATTCAAGGTTCCAGGTAGCTATAACCACTGAGGTAGAAACTAAAACTGTGAGCATAAATGACATGTCTCTTATGGTCAATTCACGTTTTCAAGAAAAAGCAAGCAAAACCAAGCATGTGACTGGAAATCATCACCTTAAAATATAATGACTCTACTATAATGTATCGCATTAAATCAATGATAACATAACCATGAAACTAACAGCACTAAATCTAAAATTAAAAGCAATGTACTAAGCATGGTATTAGTATAATTAAATGGAAAGAAATATAAACTAACTACCAACACAGTGCCAAAAATAATTTGCACTCCCCACAATCAGAGTAAATGCAGCAAGCATACCAGCCATGAAGCTTCATTGCGTAGAACTGTTGGAATATCCAAATGCTCAGGCTTCAAGAAGGTCTGCAACAAGTGTATTTTCTGCGAGGTTTCAAGGTCAATCTTTACATCCTCGGGAGTAGAAGAAAAGGTCCGGGAGAACAATTTTGTCATGACATATTTCTCCAAACCCTGCAGCAGCAAATATAGGAAAACACAAATCTAACTGAATATCTCACATAAAAGTACAAATTGGTGGTACATGCTACATTGTCCTCCCTTAATTTTAATCACATTTGGTTCTTACGCTGTGTTTTTTGTTTGGATAGTAGTTTAACTAGTATGAACTAGAAAGGAGGGAAAGGGAATTCAATGATAAAAAAAGGAACTTTCTTTTTTCGGGTGAAGCTAATTGTCAGAATCTTAAGAAAACCAACATAAACTAAACTAGATCCATCCACAGTGTTTCAAACAAGCATCGAGAAGTTGACAAATAAGAGCAGGCAGAGAGTACCTCCATTGCACAATCAACCTCCTGATCAGTGGCACCTGCCCACAATGGATGATCCCTAATAGCGTCTTCCATTGTTGTGTAGAATTCTTGAACCTTTTTGCCGTCATTTTCAGGGTTGGCCGCGTAAAACGAAAATGAGACAATAAAGCTAACGAAGAAAAAAGAAAAGGGATACAGTCTATGAATGAAACCAAACAATACAAATATGTATGAGTATGAATTAGGGTTTGAGCTCTAAAGTACCTTTTGATGGATCGGACGAGATCGAGGGAAGCAGGGTTTCGCATTCGATCGAGAAAATCATAGAAGATAGCCGAAGAGGATGAAGATCCCTCCATTCTCTTTGAACTCTTTGATTGATATGAAATCGAGACCAATTTAGAGAAGCACTTCCGCCAACAACACCATCACCGTCAATCTCTGTCTGGAGAATTTGACAGAAACAGAGTATGGAGGTGGAAGAGGGTTGAAGAAGCAGCATAGTATTAGTCGTTAATAAGACCGACAACTGTTTAAGGAGAGAGAAGGAGAAGAAGGAAGAATGGTAGGTTTGGCACGTGACCCCCACGTTTTTCTTGCTGGTTGCTTGCCGTTAAGGGTTAAATATTTTGCCATTTATCACAAAATGGGAATGAGGTTTGTGAAACTATCGGGTTGCGGTCTTTATGTTTGTTTTTTGGGTCAAATAGTCCTGTTGTTGTTATGTTTCATCCAAAAATCTGTTAAATTGATGATGTGATACACATATAAGTCTCATATATCCAATGATATGATGACATGTGAATTAAATACAAAAATATTTTTTTTAAATAAAAATTAAAAAATTAAAAACCGAAAAACGAAAAAAAAATCACCACCTCCTCCATTGCGCCAAACTCCATATCTAGCCTCCTCCATATCCCAACACGCTAATACCAAATCAACACCCACAACAGCCAACCCAAACCTTGATATGCCATGAACTCCCCTTCACACACTGCCTGTCCATTCTCCACCACCAAAGACCAAAATTAGATGTTGTAATTATTTATATAATACAAAATGGGAAATTACATGACAAAGAGGCTTTAACTTCTTATAAATTACAAAATTTCTTATAAACACACCCAAAACTCATTTACAACATAACAAAATAAATTTCTTAAAACAAGCCCAACCCCAAAATCTCATAAAAATACCCAAAACACTTCATAGGGTATTAAAGTAATTTAATAATCAATATTAAATTCAATAAGGCCAGCTGTCATTTTTGGGGGTTTTTTTGGGTTTGTTTATAGAAATTCAATGATGGAGGGTTTATCTATAATATTAGTACTAAGAATGGGTATATCACTAAATATCTCTAAATTAAATCTAATATAAACGGTATATATCACAGGTGGTCCAAATGATGGATGAGTTTCTGAATTTTTTTTTCTAAAGTTTTGTATAAAAAGATAAAAATGAGTTTTGAATCTTTAGCTCCCCATGAGAGTGAGGGGGAGAATTGGCATTGAAAAAGAGATTTTCTATTTAAACCTCACACTTCTCTTAATTCACCCCATGTTCTAAGTTCACCCCAACTTTTAATTTAAAATTTCACAATTTCTAAGAAAACCGCACTATCTTCCCAACTACCCTTAAATACACCCCAAACTGAAAAAATAAGAAATAAAAGAAATACATTGTGGTTCCTACACTTTGCACTAGGAGTGAGCCATCTGATCGACCATCAATGGATGATACATTGAAGCTTTTATCAAAGTGGAAAAGCAACAAGAAAAATAACTCAACTATTGAAGCAGCAATAGCAAGATTATGATTTTAGATGCATACTGGAATTCGAGAAGTGACAATAATATTACTGTTCCCAACAAAAAAAAACACAAACAAATGGAACCTAAAATCTGAAATTTAATACTTTCTAGAGAAAGAGAACAACTTTACCAAAACATCAGGTATAAAAAAACAAACATAAAACCAAACAAAAGCAATCAACAACCAAGCAATCAACAAAGGAAGAGAATAAGATCATTACAGCCAAACAATCAACAAGTCTTTCCATCAGCTCTCACACATATTTTAAAGAGGCATGCTTGTCAATGTTCTACGTCTTTGGCAATACAATGTAGAGGAGTTTGTATTTTTCTAAAACTTAATATGAAGAGTGGTGGGGTGTGTGTATAGATATACTAGGGTTAAGTATTAAGTTGGATAACCTTTTTTGTCTATTTACACAATAATAAAACTTACAGTTTAATGATTTAAGTATTGAGGTGAACTAAGAGAAGTGTGGGGTTTAAATAGAAAATCTCTTGAAAAATGGTAGGGAAGGTGTGGTGCAATTAGGTTAACCTTTTTTTTTCTTAAAAAAATTCTATTTTTTAGAATTATTTTTAGTTATAGTGAGTTGGCGGAAATGCCATTAAACTTAACGGAAATTTTAACGGAGTTAGACATAGATGGTGGATTGCAACACTTTACAAAGTCCAGTTGTTAAAAATAAAAATTCAAAATCCAAGTGATATTAGCGCACATGCCCAAAAGTTCATGTGATATTTATGCAAATTTAACACGTGTATATATATATATATATTTATTTATTTATGAGCTTGCAGTTGCAATTTTTTTTAGGGAGGGCTGTACAAGATAGTACCACAGACCGTATTACCGTAGTATTGTATAATCATCTGAATGAGTTATTATGCTTATCAATTAATTAAACCCCAAAAGCAGTTAAACTAAAGCCCTTGCAATGTTTAATGACTCGGAAGTAGAGTGGCAAACATGATCAAATTGGCTTGTGGGTAAAGGTTTCCGTGGTTTTACTTGTGGCCTCTCCAATCTTGTGATGGTATTTCTCGAAAGTCTAAGACCCTTTTGTTTAGGGTCTTGTGTTGCTTTGGTGCTTTTTTTCTTTCTTGTGCTCTCCCTTTGGGGGTAATTTGTCCCCTGCTCTTGTCATGGTGTGTGTTGTGCTTCTCTCCTCTTTTTTATACCTTATTTTATTGGTTAAAATAAAACATGCATTACTTCCTTCCAAAAGAAAATAAAACATGCATATCTACAATGAACTTGAGAGAATGTCACCTCTTGATATTAGCCATAAGTTTAATATGATTTCATTATGAAGCAAGCACAAGTTCAAATTAAAAAAAATTACCAATTTGTAAAAATATATAGACACAACACAGCCATGGATTGCAAATGTTTTGTATTATATTGATGATTAATGGAAGGACCTTTCATTGATTGCATGTTATGTTACATACTTGTCCCATTGCTAAATACGTTTTCAACTCTAATCTTTATTTCTCATCATCATCATCTGGCGACATTGTGAAAACAACCATAACCGTTCTATGCTACCGCTAATGTCGGTAGATTGATTTTTCTACTCCCTTTAATGTTGGTGGATACGTCTGCTGCTATCTTCTTAGAGGTTCTTTTCTTTAAATAAGTCTAACAATGCAAGTGCCTGCAGTGAATCCAATTCCAACTATTAAAAAGCCAAGCCAAATATTAAGTACTTTTCAAAACGCCACTGTTTATGGGCATAAAAGACTAATTCTACATCAATAGGGATATTATAGAAATTGTCTGAAATATATAGCATTGAAAAAAGAAAACAAGTTCCATCCAGGACCACCTCGTGGTTCAGACCAAAAAAAAAGAAGAAAACAAGTTGTAAAGAAATAAAATGACCTGACCTCAGGTACAGAGAGCTGTAAACGAAACTTAGGGCCATCATAGTGGTAGAGTATTGGCCTGAAAGCATCCTCTTCTAATGGTTTGCACCTTTCCTTCACTCGAATTCTAACCTGAAACCAATTCAACTTCTCATGTCAAACCTATTCAGTCTCAATTCTGCTAGCTGTTGTTACATATATATAACTTATTCAAACCTGAGCTGGAAATCTTGATTCTCCTCTGCACTTCTTGTCTTCCCACGCTGTTGGGTCAATGTTTGACCCTCCAAAACTTACAGCCTTTTAAAATTAAAAAAGAAGACAAATGAGTCAATCTAATAATTTCTAAAAGAATCCAGACACCAGAGAGAAAGTAGGCAAACCTGAAATACTCCATGCAGCTGGTGGGCTGTGTAGTTATAAAGAAAAAGGGGTAAGCCTGGGGTTATTGCCCTAACAGAGTCCTTATATTTCTGTGGGAGCCCTGCAAAAATAATAAATCAGATTTGTAACATTTTGCATAACTGCATTCCTTATTCACTTGAAGAAGATAAAGAAAACTCAAGGAATGTTATGTCCATGATCACCTATATATCTACAGAAATTACAAGAAATGTAGAACAAAGATGAATATGGAATCTGGATGGATGCAGAAACTGTTAGTAATTAATCAGGTAGACCGTAGAGCGGAGAGAAATTACCGAAGAGTTGGCGATGGAGATCCTCTTGCATAGTCTCATTGTTACACACGAAAATGTAACCACCCAAGACCTCATTCCTAGGCAGCATTTCAGCCTGAGGCAAACTCTTATGCCACTTATCATGACTAGTGTTACTCTGCTGCTGCTGCTGACCACCTTTCAACTCCTCTAACGATCTCAATCGCAAAGGCATACTAAGATTATTGTTGAAATTAATCTTCCTATAATAACAATAATAATTATTATTATTCAAGTCTTCCTCCTCCTCATCTTCTTGATCAATATTTGCATTTGAGTAATACTCATGTCTTTCTGTCATATTTCTGAATTGATTGTCAAGTGCAAGCCTTGATGCCACTGCCCTCCATGTTTGGTACTGATCATCAGCTGCAGAGCCAGAGTCAGAGGCCATCACTTGATGATGATGATGGAAATTGAATTGATCTTTACCAGCTGAACACTGCCACACAGAGCTTCCAGTACTCATTGATGACATTATTGTACAAGTAAGAGCAAGAGATGAGGAGGAGGCAAACAAGCAAGGGATTATACAAATTTGCAATCTCAGCTACTTTTAAATACCAATGAACTGAATTAATTATTTTAAATTTGGTGGTCATAATGGACTTTCGGCACTCGTGGGGTCCTTTTATTTTACCTTTTCTTTGTTGTTGCTGCTTTACAATCTTTTGGCGAGAATTTGAATCAAAATAGTCCGCCATTACTAAAACACTAGAGTATACTGAAAAGGTTGATGAATGATGATTGCTGAATTTGATTTTCAAATGTTGCTCCCTCCATCCCTCCTTTCGTGTGATTGCTAAAACATATGGCATCGCATTGGGGTCGGCGTTATAAGGATGATGAAGGATGAGACAAGAGACAAAGGCAAGTCTTGTGTTGTTCCTCCCCATGTACATTTAATTTAAATTAAATTGTTATTCTATCTAAGAAATGTCACATCGGAATCGGATGCACCAACCAGCTAATAGCTATACCCTTGTCTTGTTTTGTTGTTAATTTAGTTCAAAGAGTGAAAAATGGACCAATTGTATGATTTTGTAATGAGTAAAAATGTCTGTCTTATTTGTGTTCTACTTGCTCCCACCAGAAGCTACCCTCAGTAAATAAAATAATGCCTTGCTTGAACTTCTATGCCGAAATTATATGTATAACTTTTAGAAAATTATCACTTTATCGAAAGACTTCAGTTGTAAGGAAACGAGCCAATAATACATAATCTCATTCAAAGAGAGACGAGCACACACATGACACATACATGCATGCAAGATGCAACTGAATATAGAGAGATTTTCATGCAACGGGGATAATACTTTTTGTCATCCCTAGCCAATAGCGCAATAACATGCGGAATAACTTTTTCATATGTCATTACATTATTGATCGGGAATAGCAAAACAATGTTATTCCCGTTACAATGAAAGTTTTTCTGCTTGTGTTGGCTGTGCTATGCAAAACAGTTTGAGAAAGTTAGACAATTGCCAGCTAGATTTCCAGAAACTACATACTTAAACAAATAATTAATTAAGAAATTGACCAAACATCCATATCAAAAGCAACAGTAAATGGTTGCACCCAGGCATTAGATAATATGGAACATCTGTTTAGTCAAGTACTATAGCTGTCATCAAATTTTAATGTTCAATCAAAACTACGTACGTAAGAGTTAAGCCACTTGCCTTTAGCTCACACAAGATTCTATATCTCGTCGTGTGGAGTTGTAGTTATTGTTGTTACATGTTAATTATACACGTGGATGTGACAATATGAATGCCTGCAATGAGTTGGATATATATCTTCCATGTTGAATATTATATATATATATATGATCTATTTTATTTTATTTTAACTTTGAGTCTTTTTCTTAATCGAAATTTAAACTTGAGTTAAGTACTTTAATTTGCATTAATACTCTTAAATATTTTCAAATCGCCCAATCACACCATCCAGAAGCCACAACAGCTTTATTTATTTTTTTGTTTTTATATGATTTATAATTGCTATTTTCCCTTACTATATTAGCTTACAGAAAAATATTAGGAATTTTCGGACTTCGGAATTTTGTATTTGATTCGGGTGTGTCGATATCAGTTACCATATTCCACATGCTTCATTTCATAATGATAGGAAACATTTAGATATCAAAAATTGAAATTCATATGAACCCTTTTGAATTTGAGGACATCTCTCTCACTCAGATTATCTCCACCATTTTACATATTAAAACGTTTTTCTCAATTATTATTCAATTTACGATATAATACTTTCTTTGATATATGTAATGGAGGAAATGACTAAAACAAACCGGGCACATCGTTTGGTTCAGTTGTGCTATTAGTTTATGACCTAAACGGAACCAACCAATATAGATTGTCATGTCTTATTGGGGGTATGTGTACGGTTTGCAGTTCAAATTGAACCAAACGGACCATGATCACCCCCATAGGCGGAGCCAATTAAGGCCTACAAGGGTCGCTTATTGATAATTTGTTTTTGTATGTGTTTCATTTGATTGAATTACTTTCTATATTACATGGCTGACCTTTCTCATCTTTTGAGTTTATTACTAACTTTCTCATTTTCTCATTTTCTTTGTTTACTATTTAAATCCTATAACAATTAAAGTACACTACAAAATCCCTCTTGGCTCTAGTAGTATCTTTTTTCTAACACATAAACACACCTCAAAATTCCTAAGATTTCTCCTGATTTTTTTAATCGAATGAGCCAATCAATTAGGCAAAATAATTACTCGTGCTATTTAAGGTTGACCCTTATTGATAAAATTTCCGACTCCGCCACTGATCACCCCTAATTCTTTTGTTCATGGTGCGGAAGACAGAGAATATAGCCTTATTGCATTCAAGCAAAGAACATGACATGATGATGATATCGATGGATTGAATATGAAAATGCATGAACCATACGAAAAATGGAGTTTCCATGAAATATCTATGGTACACGGAGTCATATACTGAGCTATCATGCATGTGGCATACTTACTATAGCTAGCTAAGCCGAAGCCTAAGCCTACACTTGTGGTTGGTCATCTCATCTCATGGCTTGATTAGATTGTACGTCAAAGAAAATCACTCCAAATAGAGCCTCAGAGATCCTTTAATATATAATGATAAGCAGAGGGTAGACCCGTATCGAAAGGATAATAAACCACAAAAACAAAAACAGAAAACAGAAAGGAAGAGTGCAATTGAATCAAGTGACTTAATCTGGAGGGCTTTGCAGGTCACGATTCACATGTGCCATCGAGCCCCAGCTATGGCGACTGCGTCTCCAACTGTTTGATATTATTAAGATTTAAGACCAAAACCCAAAATTATGAAAGCTAATAGGAATGCTAATAATGCATATAAAATTGCGGCCGTCCAATCAAACGCGAAAATCCCAAGAAGGTTTAGTAGCTGTTTTTCCAAGCCTTGCTTCGGAGACAATCAAGTATCTCATAATTATATTACTTTTTATTTTCTTGGGATCGTTTCTTGCTTTAAATACTTCCTTTATACTAATTACAAACCAAATAACAAGACCTACTCCAAAGTCACTGTGGAGCGCGTGGTGGAATGTATTTATGATCAAATTCAAAGTTCAGATTTTTATGAGGGCCATTGGCTTAGGTCTCACATTTTCAACCAACTATTATATCTATTTCTAGCAATGTGTTGACCTTAATTCAAATTATGACATTTTTAATCATGTATAAGTAGCTTCCTACACGCCTTGACTTTCGAGTACCTTGTAGGGAAATTTATTAGAATTGCCTAGTTTAGTAAGAGAGAGTTTATTTTGAACCGATGAACTAGATTTGTATTACTATTAATGGCGGACCCATAAATTTTTTAGCAGAGGTGTAATTTTAAAAGGTTAAAAACTTTTTTGTGGATTGAACATCTAAGGTTTTTAACCTGGATTGACATTAGGTCACTTCATACATGAAAAATTTGTTTTATGTAAAAATATTGACTAAGTATGAAAAATGGTTTTTTGGAATAATAATTTTCTCAAGATAATTTTTGGTGGCTTTTATTCCTTACACATCAAATAAGAAAACTTGATTTTATGGGATTTTAGTATGAAGTATATATTGACTTAATGATTCATCATTTTTAGCCTAAATAATATTTTGCACTAAAACTGATTTTTCATATTTTGATTTGGTGGGAATTTGATTTTCTAGTATTTTTATTTGAATCCAAATGGGAGGTACTTCCTTATTTATATTGTAAACTTAAGTAAATGAAGTAATATAAAAATAAATAAAAGTAAAGGGTACTTCCTTAAATGTTGAAAATGGAAATAAGGTAATCTATACATCAGCTGAGTAAATGGGCAATTTGAAGCACCTACAATGGTTTTTCTAGCGAGAGGAGGTGCAGCTACACCTCCTTGAGCCTTAATAGGTCCACCACTGATTATTGTGGTTCTTTGGTCATTTTTCCAATGAATTATCTCTACGCATATGACTATTTTCGACTCTAAAATTGATTGTTGAATTTGATTTACCTTTGCTCTTCTTCTCTCTCTCCTTTTCATCAATACTTCAATCTAACAACAAGTCACCATGTAATGGTTGTTGAAATATAATTCAGTTGATAACTAACTAGTAAGTAGAGTGATCCCAAATATATGGTAGTGAGACATGGTCACATATGACAAGGTCCCAAGGGTAATGAGAATTAATGTGTAAGAAAAATAATAGGAAATGGAAGAAGGAAGATAATCCTTTAGTGTTATTGACTAACTGATTGGAGAGTGGAACCACTCTCCAGAGAAGCAGGTGATGAAGAAGGCAGGGAGGGTAAACTATAGGAAAAAAGCCATCCTAGTCTCAGACTTGCTTTTTACGAAAGCTTTAACCATCCCCGTCGGCGTAGTCACCGGCCGTCAACCTTTTCCCCTAAATCAAAGCCCTCCCGTTGACAATCATGACGATATTTAAGCCCATGACACCATCTCCACGTAAAATTTGATTCATTGCTCAAACTCAAAACACACACATACACAGAGAGAGAGAGAGAGAGAGAGAGAGAGAGAGAAGAGCAAAGCTAGCTAACTGAATTGTTAGTGCAATATTGCTGTAGATATATACATATTGAGAGTAAAAACATATATATTTGAAAGAGATTGGTGATTAACTAGGGATATATATGGCTAATTCATCGACTGGGGGTGTGCCTCCGGGGTTTCGATTCCATCCGACAGACGAAGAGCTGCTTCACTACTATTTGAAGAAGAAGGTGTCGTTTCAGAAGTTTGACATGGAGGTGATTAGAGAGGTGGACTTGAATAAGATGGAACCTTGGGAGTTGCAAGGTATGTAAACTTGTCAATTAATTTTCTTGTGAGCTTAAGAGCTTCATATGTAGTGTGCTAGGAACAGGCTTGGAATGATTGATCCGTCCTTCAAGGATTGTCTTTACTCGATCTTAATTGGTTTTGGTTATAAATTTTTAAAAAATATGTCGAATATATATGTAATATATAGACACAAACATACCAAGAATTTAACATATAATTGATCAATTATATTTGCAAATTTGTTTTTTTTTCTTCACATTATTCTAGAATAGATCGGGTAAAATTGATAAAATATAATGATTTGTACAAGTTTCTCAATTCCATAAAAACAAAGTTGCTCAATTTGCCATATCAAAATGAATTGGTCGAACTATCTATGTGAGATTCAAGATTTTCTATGTAAATCTTTCCCTGTCCTTGTTTAGCTGCTCTTTCTTCAAGATACGGCCATGGCTTTCTCATGTAGTCAGTCAAGTCAACCAATTGACGAGGGCACTTTCTTTCTCTGTGCCACATAAAAAGTTTGTGATAAAATTAGCTAAGAACAATGAATGGTGGGGCATATCTTTGTGGGCCTTTCTTTAAATTTATATACTAATGAAGCGACTTCAACACATTAATCTGCAATATGCTCCTATTTTATACTTTAAATAACTGTTTAGTTTCTTTCTCCTAATACAATCTGATATATCTCTCTAATTAATTCATTGATTTTGGTGTGTTTATGTATGTGTGTACGTACAGAGAGATGTAGGATCGGATCGACACCACAAAATGAGTGGTACTTTTTCAGCCACAAGGACAGGAAGTACCCAACAGGGTCTCGGACAAATAGGGCGACAAATGCTGGGTTTTGGAAGGCAACAGGGCGGGACAAGTGCATCCGAAACACCTTCAAGAAGATTGGCATGAGAAAAACCCTTGTTTTCTACAGAGGGAGAGCTCCCCATGGCCAAAAGACGGACTGGATTATGCATGAGTATCGCCTTGAAGATGGTGATGATCCTCAAGGAAACTTATCTAGTGTAAGTCTTTAAAACATTAACTAATTATGAGATATTTTAATTTGCAAGCACAAATATATGTAACCTTATAAAAATGCAGGAAGATGGGTGGGTGATCTGCAGGGTGTTCAAGAAGAAGAACCTATTCAAGGTTGGGAATGAAGGAGGAAGCTCGAGCATGAACTCATCGGATCGCCAACAGCTCAACAACACATCAAGCACCAACCATGCTCGCTCCTTCATGCATACCCACAGAGACAACGAATACTTACTACGGCAACAACACAGTCAAGCCTTCGAACTAAACAACCCAAGCCTTCACTACGCCCATCTCCAGCCACCCCCTCAGTACTCTCTTTTCCAACCCCAAGCCCTAATCCCAACCCACAAGCCCATCGCCGGCTACGACTACACTCAGCTCCCTTCCGACGACTCCCCGGGCCATGGCATGGTGAAGCAGCTCATGACAAACCCTAGAGACTGTGAGAGTGGGAGTGAGAGCCTCCGGTACCAAGCGTGTGAGCCGGGGTTGGAAGTTGGGACGTGCGAACCAAATCAAGCACCAATGGTTGCAGGAGGAGGTGGAAGAGATCATCATGATCAGGGTGGCATGAATGAATGGACGATGCTGGACCGCCTTGTTACGTCTCATCTCGGAAATGATCAAGACTCGTCGTCGAAAGGAGCAAGGTATGATCAGGATGCAAATGCTGCAGCATCCTCCGTCACCCAAATTAATAACCACCTGTCTTTGCGTGGAGAGATGGATTTTTGGGGGTACGGAAAATAGTAATAACGGCCACAAGTGTTGTCTTGTTGGGAATCTTATTATTACAAAGATGGGTTAGAGAGTTACCCATGGCAACTAAAAATGGCTCTAACCCTATCTATATATTAATATTATATAATTTAATACTCAATTGTACTTGATTGAAATCACATGTTTTTTTCTACATGAAAATGATCAGCACACCCAATCCACCTTATTAGCTTGCAACGGTACACTGTCCTTCCACAACGTACAAAATCAAAAGAACCAAGTTTATACGATAAGACAATTGCAGTCCTCCAAAACTGTACGTAGGTAGTATAATTATGTTACACAATTATACCAGTGTATGTACGTACGTATGTTCTTAAACAATTACAATACAAAAGTATTGTATATGACGTCAATTACAAGAGCCGTAAATATATGATAAGTAAGAACAATAATACTACCAATTAATGCATAACATTATCATTGTTGAAATATAACTCAAAATAAAAATAAATTGTATATATCATACAATTGTGCAATTACAGTCCAAAATGCTATATAAATATTTGTATTAGAAAATGTACAGACGTGTAAATAATAGTTAGACAATTATATTATACTATAAACTGTAATACAATTGTGTCACTATATAATTTAGAAAAAAAAAGTATTTAATTTAAATATTTGCCGATAAATATCAGAATGTTATCTCATGAGATGAGATGTGTAGAGAGGGTAATTTCGTCTACCACCAAGTTGGGGGCGCAGAGAAATATCAATTGTGTCAGGGACAGGGCTGTCATAAAATAAAATAATATTCACCCTTAAAACCAACGACATGTAGCGTTGAGTTTGTTTGGAAGATTGAAAGCCAGGAAACGGCGGGTCGTGTTGTGCACCAATATAAAACTCATTTGCCCCCTCTCTCGAAATTAAACCAACAGCAACAAAGCGCTGCACTATCTGATTTCAGATTTTGAGAGACAAGTAGTTCGGACTTCGGGTTCGGAGGTCTTTAGCTTTAGCAAAGATGATGAAGGTTTTGCGCCTCTTGTCCTCCTCCAGGTACCAACTCTCTTTTATGTCTTTTTCTTTTTTCATTTTACCTTGAAAAGAAAAAACCCTTTGTTTATTTTCCTTAAACCCTGAAAATATAGCGTGAAAAATCTACCTTGTCAAGAAACTGAGCTTGAATCGTATGAATTGGCTGCTAAGAAATGAAGGATTTCTTTTTTATCAGTCAGTCAATGTAAATTTCCTGTATATATAGGTGTGTTGGAAATAAAGGTTGAAACTTTGAGTTGCAATGTTTTGTTTTGTCAATATGGGTATGTATATTATTTGTATTATAAAAATACGTTATGTTCAAATTCTGATTTTCAGTGTATGGTATGGTACCCACATTGAACTTTTACTTTGTTCTAACACACCTATAGACTTCCACACTCGCATGAATTGGCCATTTGATTGATTTCGTCTTATTTCCTACTTTACTGTTCATTCGTTACCCTGGGAATTAACAAGAAACAAGATTACCTGAAAGGCTGAAAGTCATCCCTGTTTAGCTGTATAGACACCATCAGCTTCCAATTTTGGAGCATTGTCTTAAAATTGCTGAAACCCGGTTCTTGTATTGGATCCAACCTTTTTGCTATGGTCCGAATTTAAGGTGAAAATGATGTTGTACTTGTTTCTTAAGAAGGTAAATTTTATCAGTTTTTGAATGGTTTTTCATCGAATTGGCTAACTCTAACAACACTTCAAACACTTCCCCATTCCTAGGATTAGTCTCCATAATCTCGTCTCTTAGTATTTTTCTGCTTTTCTTTGTTGACAAAAGGAACCAGTTCCCCACTAGAGGTGCTTTATCAATGCATGCTTATACACATAGCACCAGCTTTTCAACTGCCAGTAAGAGTTTTTCTGTTAAAGGTAATTTGTTTAAACAGTCAATTTTAATTTTTATCTCTTACATCTTTCTTTCCTGTTGGATAAAGTTTACTCTGCTTATCTGTGTTCTTTTGTTTCTGAACCTGCAGGAACTAGTGCTCATAATGTATTTGCTTCTTTTGATATCTTCAAAGGAAAAGCTGCACTCTCTTTGAATCCTGTTCTCCCAACATTCACCAAATTGGAAGTATGCATCTTTACTTTTTCATTCATAATTTGATTGATCTCCTTCTTATGAAGGGATTCAAGGATGTATCTTCTCATTCATCTCTTTATATATTGTATAGTCTGGAAATCTTGTAGTTAGTCGGCGTGGTGTTGTCATGTTGAAGTTCACTCCTGCCATTGGCGAGCGCAGGTATGACTGGGAAAAGAAGCAGGTAATTTCCATAGCGGTTCTTATTTACATTGTCTTGATTTTCATTTTGTTTACTTTCCAAATAACTAAGTAATCTCAATGACATTTGTTAGGTATTTGCTTTATCAGCAACGGAGGTTGGCTCTCTGATAAGCTTGGGTCCCAAGGATTCTTGTGAATTCTTTCATGATCCCTCAATGAAATCAAGGTTGATTTTCTGACCTGCTACTTTTGCGGAAACATGTGTAACAAGGGTGTTTTCTTTTTTCCTTACCTCATGGAAAGAACTGCATTTTGATAAAACAATTTTCAGAGGGCATCATCTTTTTGTTTCAATGTGAAAACATCAGTTGTTTTTGTATTATTTTCGGGACATAGATAGTAATTGGCTTTAATGAGCAATTCATGTTACAGTAATGCTGGTCAAGTAAGGAAGAGCTTGTCAATTAAGTGTCATGCAGATGGCAGTGGCTACTTGGTTTCTTTGAGTAAGTACACTATATCTTCTTGTATTCCCTTGTTTACTTAAGTGAATGTGAAGTTCTTACTAAGTGAATTATCTGCTTGTATTTACATTTTCTGAAAAATAAATAAATAAATAAAAGAGTTTGCGATTTATCAAGGGTTGCTTTAAATTCGAGCAAGTGATTTGAAGTTTCGATGCTTTGAGTAAAAATTCTGTGTGCTTTTAGTTACTGAACCTTGGTCTAAAGTTGTACTTTTGCTTCATGTAGTCATGTGGCTATAGAGATATATGGGATTGATGCTTTCTACATTTGACATTGTGCCCCCTATTTTTGGTGACAGCTGTTGTGAACAACCTCCTCAAAACCAAAGAGAATTTCGTAGTTCCTGTCACAGCTGCTGAATTTGCGGTTATGAAGACTGCTTGCAGTGTATGACATGACTATGAATATAAAGTTTCCTATAACTGGGATAATAATTAGGGATATGCATTTTGATGCCTGTATTGATTTAATTCTTGTGCTTGTAATAAAAACAAATATTTCTTGTGCAGTTTGCGCTGCCCCACATCATGGGTTGGGATAGGTTGATGAGCAATATGCCGAGTGGTGGAGGGCAACAATCAAATGTAGGAGGGCAACAATCAAAAGTGGTTCCACAACTTTTGGATGAGTGGGATAGATGAAGTCCACCAGTAATCTCATCTATATCAAGCTTAAGGAACTTGGACTTGCAAAACTTTGTTACTAGAACCATGGACTTGCAAGATTGTGTGCTTTAGCATGGACTTATCGTGTATAGTGTATTTTGATCTGTTGCCAAAAGCATATTTGACCTGGTGTAGACATTTTTGGCTTAAGATGCTCAAGTGACTTTTCAGCATGTTATGTATTTAAGATAATACTAGCGGGTTTGAGCTGATTTCTGGGGATGTTTTGCTTGCAGCCTTAGAAATGAAAGGTTCTGATTAATGAACCTTAATTTTGCTCCTGTGGAAAAGATATTTGGGATGCATCTTAATTTACCATCTCTATTCTACTGGCAAGCCAGCAGCCGGAGTGATTATAGAATACTACAAGTGGATATTTATATACTATTCCTTAAATGGGAAAATAAATAAATTACGTCATTAACCCATATTATCGTATCCAGCAGTTGATAAAAGAAAAATGGACAAAAACTTGCATGATAAATAAAGATAACTTTTTTAAACAAATAATGAGTATTATAAACAAAATATATTTTATTTAGTGAATGATTATTTTAAATGAACATTTTTTTTTTTTTTTTTTTTTAGTAATTTTATATATTCAGCCTTATGACGTGGGCAGTTGAATTTGTATTGACATGTCATTTCAATCATAAAAATGAAGTCTTCCTAATAAAAAAATAAAAAAGGAAAAATAAAAGAAAGCCTCGAGTGAGTATTTGCTGCTTTGTCCCTCTCCCGCCTTGGACTTGAACGTTGCGCTAAAAACCCTGAGAATATCATCGCCGACAGACAGACAGGCAGACAGCATCCGAAACTGAAAACCCCTTCTTACTTCTTATTTGTAGCCCTTAGCCCACCCACAAGAACACGATAACCAGCTAGAATATGGACACGTGGCAGATCCTCCACATCCCAGACAACCCCCCAATCGCTCCCGACCAACAACCCACAGTGGATGTAATTGCTTCACTCATCGACCCAAAATTTGCTAACACTCTTGTAAGGTGCTGCTTGCCTTCTTCTTCTTCTACTTTTGCTACCATTACTCTGTTTTTGTTTTTGTTTTTCTTTATATTTTCTATTAACATGATGATATTGGTTTGTTTTGTTTTACTGGGCATGTCGTAATTGTGTTTATGCCTTCCAATTCTTTCTCTTTTTGACAAAATTGATGCGAAAAAGTAATTAAATTTGTGTAGGCGTTTGAATCAAATATCACCACTGGAAAATCTCCGCCACGTGAAGCGGGTGAAGAAGAAATTTGTTGAAGGAGGTCTGTATCTGTCTGCCCTACCTAACTTTATTTTGTATTGTTAAACCCTAAACCCTACCTAACTTTAATTTGTTGAAGATTGTTGATTACCAACTAGCCCTTGGTCTAGTGGTACTTCTTCCAAATGGTGGAAGAGGTCCAAGTTCGAATCCTCTCATCCCCAATTGATCAAAAAAAGAAAGAAGATTGGTGATTACAAATAAATTATACTTTTATGCCAAGACGATATTTACCTGACATGGTGACACCACGTTGCTCTTACTATCTTATCTTTACGGTGTTGACTATCAGTTTACCTTACAGGAAAAACTCAACTATCTGTGATCTTATGTCTAGCTTCTGAAAATGGTAATCAGTTGGGGAGCATGCAGAATGATGTACAGGAGCTAATGAATTCCTACAAGTTGAGTCCTTTTATCACAAAAGTGGGTCTTTCTTTTTCCATTTTAATCTTGTTTAATTAGTGCTTCTTATATATAACTATAAGATACATTTGAAAGACTACTGTCGTGCTACTGTAATATTTGATGTCTTAGTTGCATAAGGGGATTATTTTAATTATATCAGTATGTAAAAAAATCCTATTGTTTCTCTTGTTATAAGGTATTAAAATATTGCACTATCAATAATCTTGCATTACACTGATTATTCTCTATAATCTTACTATTGGGTGGAATCATTTTAATTGCATTCTATTGAATTTCGAGATTGTTCTTGGCCTTTGGAGATTGTTCTTGGCCTTTGTTTTACTTAATACTTTACTTTCACACAATTGCACTTAGACCTTGCCTTGTAAATACAATGATGCCCTTTATTAAAAAGTTTTATGATCCCTTCCACATGAACTTACTATCCCATTTTGAATATTGCAATTTGATTTGCATGAGTTTTGTTATTATTTTCTGGAAACCTACTCTTCTTCTGGTAGTCTCCAAACATGCTCTTGTGTTTGTTTACTTTGGCTTTAGACAAGACTGTCAGGTTTTATACATGTCAATCAACTCAATTTTAGGTCTGCAAGTATGCTGCATTATCAAAAGAAGAGTGGGAAGAACAATGCAAGCTATGGCCAACATCTTATCATCCACCAACCTAGTAAGCTCTTGTTTTGTTTATCCAAGTGTTTTTCCTTTTTAACACTAATTTACTTCTTAGTAATGTCTTTCTTTGTGGACTAGTGAGCTCTATCATTGATGTTCAGGAGTATTTAGTTTTTCCTTTCCAAGTTTAGGGAGATGAGGAGGCAAAAAAATATCTCAGTAAGGATGAACAATAGTCCTACAATTTGTTCCTGAACATATATGATGGAACAAGGTGATGTGATAGCTTGCCAAAGTGCTATTTACAGTTATATAATTCATTTTGCCTAACATTAATTATATTAATAATATATGACGAAAATGGAACCTGACAATGAGTTATGCTAATGCTGGCAGGAAAAATAAGAAAAAGTATTTGCATTTACAAGTGTAAGGTGTCATATTGGATGGTTGTAAATATTCTTTTCTATTTGCACCTTTGCAGTGTGGGTTTTGTTACTTTCTTTTTTTTCCCTGTAGCTGCTGGTTCTGCAATGCTCCAACACATGTCAAATAATTATTTGTTTCATATTATCTTAACTTTTGTTTGTTTGTCCTTTACCTTTTAAATACAGTAATATTGATGGCATTACTGGATTCAGTGAAGAGGACTCACAATCAGTGTTCAGATTCATGAAGTACGCTATTCATTTGGCAAAGTCTAGCGATAATTTGGTAACTATTTTATTTTCTTTGTGTTGCCTCTCTCTCTCTCTCTCTCTCTCTCTCTCTCTCTCTCTCTCTCTCTCTCTCTCTCTCTCTCTATGAATATCTATCTCATATCAGCATTGTGACTTTCAGAAGTACATGTCAACCTTTGCTCATAGGCTTTCAAATATTCAAAATGATGCTAATATTTTGAAAGTATTATTAAGAATCCTAAATGAATTGGGAGGGTCAGGGTGGTGCTATGTATGTTTATCTCTTCTAGCCTTATTATTTATTTATTTTTCAGCCAGCACCCTGTTGTATCCTTGTTAGTGCTGCTCAACACACGTGGATCAGCATCAGTTTGAGTATAAAAATTGTTAACAAATGAGGAAATATTGACTTTTCCTTTAATAAAGATGATAAATTATTGTAAAGGAGTTGGTCATAATCTTCATTCTTGAAATTTGTTCAGAGGCACGGGGCTAAGTTTTTTTTAATGGAAACTTCTTTCTGGTAGATATTGGGTTGCAGACAGCAACTTCTTAAAGTTGATGCAAGGCTTAGAATTCTTGATGTAGGATTTATGTTTTCAACACGTCTCCTCACGTGTGGTTCGCCTGAGCCAAACACATGGGTCAATTATGTTGGGTGATTTAGTGCACATGTGGCAAAACTGGGTCTAACACATGGATGGATTGCCTGCTATGCTATCATGTTAAAGTTATGGCATCCAACCCAGCCAAAGAGTTTATTCTGTGTAATGCAAGGCTTAAATTCTCAATGTAGGATTGACCCTTAATTGAAACCTTCACTCTATCTGCAGGTAGTCAATGCTGCAGTTATAGTGGATCCTTTAGTTAAACAGGTAATCACTACTGCATGTGATCAAACTTGCTCTTCGTATAGTCCCACAAACAAGATCACCCTTGAAACCAGCTGCTGTGAAAAGCTAGAAGCTTTTATTTCCCATAGTGATTCAGATGGAGTATTGAACCATCAAACTGTGCATTCAAATAGTTTTCAAGACAAATCAAAACAATTATGTACCAGTGTATCTTGTTTATATCCTTGGCAATGGGCTGATCAACAATCAGACATGAGTTCGTGTTATTGGCACCCTTTACGTCATGCTGCCATTGTTGCTATTGAATCTTCTGCTGCCAGAGACAGATATCTTTTCCCCAGTTTGGGAAAAATCCAAGATAAGTCTTTTGAAATGGACAACATGCAGTCTTCTTCTGCAGGCTCTCCAGCAAAAAGACAAAAGACTAATTCTACAAATGTGAGTTGTTTCTTTGTGCTTCAAATTGAGCCATTTTGGGGAGAGCACTAAATGAGGGTAAGGGAGGGATTGTCTAGTGTCCACTCATTTCCTGTCATTTAGGAGTTCTTTTTTTCTCGGTAGGAGACCTATTGCTTTGAATATGAAACCTGTGATATGTGAAGTATATCATTGTCACACAATCATTAAAACGGTATAACTGTAATTTCACAATAACATTGTCTTTGAGCAATCGAAGTTCTTGGGTTGGGTGACTTGTATTCAAATTAATATTTAAGAATCTTATTATCTATTCAGGTTCACAGTGACGATGACAATCTGGACACTAATGGTGAAGGTTCCAGTTCTTTATCAGCCAGGCCTTATCTATGTACAGGTTTTGACATGTACCTTGTTTGGGAGCCGTGCATAATGTAAGTTCATGAATAGTGTACTCACTAGATTTCTACTGTGTCCCTGAATTTGTTAGTTTTCCTGATAGTAACACTTCTTTGAACTTTTTATGCTTGTGTTGTGTATGGTCCAAATGATAATTATGGTTCCATACTGAAATCCTTGTCTGTAACTTATTATTATTTGTTTCTTTAACTCTTACACTGCCTTTACATGCTTGCTGATAGGAACTTGAACCTAGTTGACATCTTAAATTTTGTTAATCATACTTCTTTCATAATCTCATAGGTATTCCAAAATCTTGTGAGACTGAAATTTGGACTGTTCATCCTTTCATTTCTCTCCTCACTATGATCTTTCAAAGGTCTGGAAATGTAGGCATGATTTGACATCGTAGCCTTAGGTTATTTCATCTTTTCCATATCTAGGCTTGATCATTTCGGTTCTGTCATCCTGAGCTCCATTGGTAAAATCTATCTTTTGTTGTCTGTCAAATAAATGCACATTTATATATAATTCGCATTATAAATCTGTGTTGCATCCTCTGTACACACTAGATAGTGTGTGGAAAGGATTGTTTTAGAGAAATCTTGCACACACTGTATGCAATTGAAATGTCCACTCTCTCTCTCTCTCTCTCTCTCTCTCTCTCTCTGTGGAAACTGGAAACCTGAGTTTGTGTTTTTTGTTTTAAACTAGTTTTATTATGTTCAATTTTCTGATATTATATTCTTATTAAAGGTGCGCAATGGCACTTGTCCATCAGAGAATTAGGCGTATATTCTTTGCTTTCCCAAACCCAAATGCAGGGGCATTGGGTAGTGTTCACAGACTACAAGGGGAAAGAAGCTTAAATCATCACTATGCTGTATTCAGAGTGTTGGTGCCTCAACAAATCCTTAGTGGGGAGGGATGAAACTTCAATTACCAAATGAGTACAAATGAAATGAGAATATTGGTTTGATTGTTCTGCATCAGCTTCATTTGTGGACTAGACTAAGACATTGTTTTACCAGGAAGCCAACTCAACTCAACTCAACTGGTTACTGACTGACTGACTGGTTAGCCATTACCCATTTAGCCAAGAACAAAAAGCAATCCAAGGCTTCCATGCTTCAAGCTCAAGAAGATTTCATTTGCCTAACCACCTCTACCTTTGTGACTCTATTTATCATGCAATGTTTTATCAATTAAGAGGATCATAAGTGCTGCAAACTACATGGGCACATTTATAATTTTGTTCACCATTCAATCTCCAAAGTAGCTATGGTTTAAAAGTAATATCCAAGTTGTTGAAAGAGTTGAAGTGAAAAACAGTGTGATGCCCAACACTCTTATTTTAATAGAGCATGTAGGATCCACAAAGTCCTTTTCAAGAACTGGTTGATTGCAATCTAAGAGCATCTTGCAAAATGTTAAATTCGAATTTGATGGCTTATGTGGCAATTTGACACTTTGGAAAAAATTTAACTCCACTAGAAATGCCGAATATCATATTATTTTATTATATTTTTTGAAGTAAATGAGGCCTATATGATGCATAAAGTTTGAAAAGTTACTCAATGATAGTGGGTCTATAACTAAAATAATATTTGATATCAAGCTTTTGATATGTTATTTTGACATATCTCTTCTAGTCTTCAAATTCGTATAGGATTTGACTACGCGATTAGAGCAATTTTAACCTTCAATTTTTGTCATTTCATGTCCATGTGGCAATTTGACATATCTGCTAAAGATGCTCTAAGCAATTTACCTGTTTGTAACAATTGTGTAACACCAACACCTTATTAAGCTTCTTTTTTCTTTTTCTTTTTTCTTTTAAGGTGAATTGGCTTTCGTTAACATACTTTTATTAAAGTCTGAGTATATAAACCTTTTCTGTTATAAATTGGGGGTTGGGGATTCAAATGTCTCCCAAAATTGAAAAGACAAATATAATTAGACCAAGAGTTACGTGGGACATTATCACACCTTTATAATGGCAATTGAACTACAATTGCAACAAATCACTTCAGAATGTTTTAATTACCTCGCAACACAATATCATGCATGTTACACGATATCTTTTTTTGTGAGAAGAAAATAATTAGGGAAAAATACAAAAACAACCAGTGACAAAACCCTCCATTTGAAAAATAAAAAACATCCTAGCAATTCCCTAAATTGTAAAAAGAATTTTATATAGCTGGCTGTTTCCACCCCCAACCAGCCAGCCACCAAAGATGCTGAGAATGATGAACAAATATAAACAAAGCAAGAGAGAGGTTACGCATACAACAATACCTAATAGGATGCTTCAATGCTGAGAATGATGAACAAATATAAACAAAGCAAGAGAGAGGTTACGCATACAACAATACCTAATAGGATGTTTCAATGCATGATACACTATCCCAAAAGACCAAGAATAATACTGAAATGATTGAAGAACACATCCAAAAATCCCAGCAACTACAAATATTATGTAATTGCAAAAGGTCATCGAAACACTCGAACTGAGAAGTTGATAATTTTATAAATCTGAATATACAAAGCATTGGAACTGTAAAACTGTACACCAAATTCCTCAACCATCTGTATTTTGAGCACATACCTTCAAATAGATGTAAAAACATCATTGAGAATGTTAATACTTTGCTTCCATATACTTCTTTCAATCTCTCCCTCTTCCTTCTCCCTCTCCACCCCCTTTTCTTCTCTATCTCTCTCCGGAGACCTGTTTCTTGATGACTTATGATTTTCTGCATCTCTAGTCATGATTTCAAGCTCCACTTTAGAAACTGATCAAGTTTGGAATCATATTTATATTACAAGATATTCAACGGATGCACGCAATACCATTACATATCAATAACCATATCACAAACAGTATTACACAAACAGCCGCATCAATGGCAAGGACGATTCGCACTTGGCGACACCACTTCTTTCGAATGCCTTGAGAGCCTGACCTAATCCTCATTGAGCCCAAATCTTTTTGTAATGCAATTGAAGAACCTGCTCCAGCATGGCTATTAGAATCTGAATTTGCTGAGTCAATATTGACACCTCTATCCGTAGATTTCCTATGTTCCTCCAACTCAATGTCTCTCATAGCAATAACATGATCTTTTGATTTCTTCTTATCTTGCTTGTTAGGCTTCCCCAATAGAGGGGCTTTTGTAGAAGTGGCAACTTCAGTTTGTCCGTTTGCACCACTTGGTGATGGAGAAAGACCAGCATGAAGTGACAGGGAAGTTTCAGCTGTCCAATTACTACCACTCTGAGAAACATTCTCCAAGGAGGTGATCAAGCGGTGGATAACAGGAACTAACTGTTCTTGTATGCCAACAGAGCTCATACTTGACAAACTTCCCCTGGAACCCTTCCTGGCTACCTTCTTGAATTCGTCTCTCAAATGCTCTAGAAACTGAAGAACACCAGGGTTTCCCAGAGTCTCATCAACAATTGTGAAATAAATATGCCCATCTTCAATTAGGAACCCATAAGTCCTTTTGCCCACTGTCTCAAAATACCACCTATGAAAAGGAGGAGTCTTTTCCAAGCACAAAGTAGCCAAATTCTCAATTTCACCATCTCCACCACTGTATACATAAAGGATCCGATTACCCCTTGATACACAACAGTAGTAAACAGTATTTTGAATCGAACCCATATTATACTCAATTGTAGTCTACAACCAATTCTACTGGTGAACCTCAGTGCCAAGCATCATCAGTACCAAACGAAATGTAATTATGTAAACAACAACTCAGATACAAAATCAAAAGCGTCCAAGAAATACAAGAGCAGTTCTTCAGCTAAGTACTCAAAGTCAAGAATGTAAGTCCACCATGCATTGGTTTTGGCTTTTCAGGACCACCTACAAGAGCAAGAAAAGAAACTACTCTCAGGACCCTAATCTGTAATCAGAACAAAGAGAAATAGACAATCAATGAAAATACAACAAGATTCCTAACAAACCCACCCACAAAAATTCATCAGTCGTTACCTTCAGGCTTCAGCACAAGTTAGGAGTCAGGAAATTGAAAGTTTCTAATTAAACAACGACATCACAAAACCCAAAAAATACATGCTATGAGACCCACGAATCAAACGTTCAGTGTAATCAATGAAAGAAAGGGGCCACAAGTTATACCAAATACTAGAGAAAGAAAATCAAAATTTTAGATTGACCCAACTACACAGCTTCAGAAAAACACAAAGATCTAGGGGCAAATGTTGAAAATTGAAGGTCAACGACCAGTCTAGTTCTGTTTGGTCTCGATAAATAGTAAGAAGGGAAGAAAAACTCAAATCCCCTCCAACAACTGGTCTGACTTTGGAAGGACTTGTAAGAGAAAATTGCTCTCTCTTTGAACAATTTTCTCATCAACCAAACAGATCGAAAAAAGGTTCATGCCACAGATTTACCTGAAGAAACTCTCCAATAGAAGCCTTGGGCAGGAGCCAAATTATACATGGGAGGACTGGCTCACTGAGGAGAGAGAGGTGGTGTTAAAATGGCAAAGCCTCCAAACAAAGCGATTGTTTGCTTCACATGCGATGCGATGCGAGTAGTACATCTCTATGCTACGTATTCTAGTTGACATTTTGACTGTTCTTTGTTCTAGTTTGGGTCTTCTACTTCAACATACGGACAAAATGGAGGAGCTACTAAACACAAACAAAAGATGAAGATGCGGAGCGATCGATCGGCAAATATTAGTAGGGCCGGCCATGGGTTGGTTGGGTTGGGTCGGTTTTGGTCATAATTCGTAACTCAACTTGATATAAAGTGGTTTATGATTTCTTGAATCCAAGACCTACTTATTATTAGGTCAACTCAATCCAACCTTTTGTGATTGAATTGGACGGTTAGGTCTGATTAACTCAAAATAAAGCCATTTTTAAGTTTTGGTTCTATCCAATAACCCAACAAGTACAAAGCGGTTTATGATTTTTTGAACCTAAGACTTACTCATTATTAGGCCAACTCAACTCTCTAATGATCAAATTAGACAGTTCAATTGAGTTTACTGGACATTGTGTCGTCCCTTAAATATTTGTGTTACTTAAGGCCATCTCCAACCCAATATGCTAAAACTCAACCATCTTTGCATTATAACTATACATTTCCTTGAATAAAGTATTGGATTAATTGGATGTTTGTTGTTCCAAAACAAAAATAATAATGTGGGCCCTTGTATTGTTAAAGATTTGAAGTGGTTATCATGTTCGAAATTCTAGGGTTTGGTTTCATTTTTTGTCTGAATTTGGCCCTTTTTTTTTACAGTGGTCTGAATTAGGTAGGTGATAAGAATTCCCAGAGATTGGTTTTCCTAATCGCCATTAACGTATCATTGTGAACCTTCTAATTTTCTCACGCTTTCTTGAACCTCTTCAAGCAGCCACGACGACATCATTTACACAAGAAGCCAGAAGCACGAAGATCTCTAACATTGGATTGCCCCCAAATTCAATCCCACAGGCCAATCTCCCCCTACATTGCGCTACACCATATCATTCTCCAATCATGTAGATCGCACGTTTGAAATTCTAGAGTTTGGTTTCATTTTTGGTATGAAAATTAAGGTTTGTTGTTGTTGAAAAGTCTGAATTAGGGGTTTGGTTTAGAGAAAATAATAAAAAGCTCCCATGAGATGGGAATGGACATCCTCCATTCCCATGTTTAGAAACGCTGAGAATTGAAGATTAGGAAATTCATTTTCTTCCATTTCCCATGTTTGGGAAATAAGAAGCTCCTACTAGCTAATAAATAGTTAATGAAATGAACAATTTTACTTTCTCAATAGTAGTAAGATAGAACATCCTCTCAAGTCATTAGATAGAATGTTGGAGAACAATCAGTATAAAACCAAATAACTGAATAATAACAAATCGAAATATGCTTTATATGTTTAACATATTTGAATGTCAGATTTTGATTTTATCTGGAAAATGAATTTCTAATTAATATATATATATATATATATATATATATTCCAAGCTCAAATCATGGTGAGGCTCAACTTTGCCTCCACTAGGCCCATACCTTATTTAGTATTTCTAAAATGTTAGTGCTTATAAACTATGGAAGGAAACAACTCAATTCCAATATGGGACTAAATGCAAGTGTATTTTTCCTATACAAACTCTAACGTAGAAGAATTGTCATCGATGGTTATAATACATGTGTTTATTCACAGAGTGTGATAGTCAAAGCAAATTATCACAAAAATTCCTATTTAAAAATTTGTCAATTAATGTGTTAGCTGACGAAGTAACAGTGTAACTTCAAACTAAACCTAAATACTATTTCACTTCGTGTCGTCTTTTTTTTTCCATGAGAGCTAAATATCTCCATTTATACAATTTACACTTCATTACACTATACTAAAGATATGTTACTAGTCACATTTCTTTTTAAAAAGCTGATTTTTAAGCTAAAGACCAAAAAAAAAAAGTGATTCAAAGAAAAAAGTAGTAAAATAGTGTTTGTTGTAGAATTGTGGATGTTGTTCAATTGGACCTAGAAGAAGACTCTTGTTAGGCCATCCCCAATAGGGTGCCTTAATTGGCCGAAAAAACTTTTTTATCACGTGTCATTATGTTGTAGGTTAAAAATAACAAAAAGTGGTATACCGTTGCATTTTAGTGTTTAAAGAGCTCCACCTCCCTGGAGCTCAAAAATATAGAAGCCGAATGTGGGATCCCCAATAGAAGAGTTTTTCGGGCCCTGTATCATAAAACTTGCCGGAGCTATAAATGGACTCGTACAGAGCCTTAGAGCCCAAGCGGGCCCCACTGTTTTCTGGCATCCCTAATTGTATTTTATGTTCCGACACTCCTTTTTTTTTGGCCCTTTATGTTCGCTGTTTCCTTCATCTTTTTTTCCCGTTTGTTTTTTCAAAGTTTGTTGTCCTAATCTTGTCCAAATTTCCATTTTTTTAGTAGAAATGTTCATTAAAAAAAAACATAACATAAATATACATTAAAATAAAATAATTTAACAACCATAAAATTATTGCAAGCAACTGTAATGCACCAGAAAGATGATTATCAGAAGAAAAGGCCTTGCAAGATACTAGTTGCATGACTCATACAACACTCTCATGGCTCATGCCAAGTAAATAGTAACCCTTCATTACCATCAAATCTTAATTCTCAAACTCCACCAATCACCACATAAAAGTGGGTATTATTCATAATATTCGTTGGGAAAATGAGAATTGGATGCCTGTCAGATTCAAGCATCCAAACGTTCTCATCAAGGCAAGACCGACAAAAGATCAATAGGAAAACCCTTCATCAAAGCCTTGCTTTTCCCATCTGAAAACACCAATGTACTTGTTTGTAAATTATACAGGAACTCCATCGATTGTTCTTAGCAACTCCTTGCTGATGAGCAAGCCTTCATCTTCTAGGATGTTAATATCAAAATTTCTTGAATGTTTCAGTTTGGCTGCTTCTTGCCTTTCTATAGAAGAATTCGACCAAATACTCTCTCACAATATGGCAGTTTAGAAGCTTTTACACTAACCGCTGTGTCTCACTTGGATACTATACTAGTATGCAGAATTCTTGATAGTACTGTCAGCTTTGATGCCTCAATTCAACTCAAGCTGTGTGGATAGACAGACAGAGAACAAAAGAGACGTCATTAGCTGAAAATTCATCATATTGTATAAAATTAGCCTACAGGCATTTAGAGATCTGTGAGGTCAGCTGTTCAAGGAGACTATTTGGATGATCCAGAAAAGTCGTTTAGGAGTTTAATGGCTAAACCCAGAATTTTTTTTATCTGGTGCTCTTCCTAAAGCTGTGGTGGAAGCGACCCCATTGAATAAAGTCAAATTTGGAGATACAACAGATTAATTACTCTAGTACTTTCTGTACTACTTGAAAGTGCAAATGATAGGCATTTGTTAAACAAATTCACAAATGAGAATTAAGACAAGAAGTTGTGTCTCATAACCTCAAAGGTAATGAATAAAACATATGAAAAGGCAATCCAGTGGAAATGTGATAATCAAATTATGATAATTGCATTTATATAATAGCAAAAGAAAAACTTCTTTAACAAATTCTTTTGAAAATGGGGGCAAAAATGTGAGGGAAAAAAAGAATCAGCTAAGCTAATGATAAAAAATAACAAATTACCAGAAGATCCACGAGTATGCTCATGCAACTCAGTTGCATTTCCTACATCCCTCAATTCTCGCTTACAATCAACCCATTGAGAACTTCTTGGATCTTCTTCGGAACTGTGTAGGACAGTTCTAGGTTCCTTATTCCTCAACCCGGACTCTGTAGCTTCTGTTTCTTCACACGCTTGAGGCATCTGTGGAAGGGGTGTTACAAAATTATTCTCTGCAACAGAAGATTCATGACTCGACTCCACCGGTACATCAGGCGATTCATTTTGAGATTTATGAGACGAAAGGAGGGATAAGCGGCAGAGTGGACAGGTGCTGTGGGTGGAAAGCCAGCTATCAATGCAATCAATATGAAATGTATGGGCACAGGCTGGTATTTGTTGAAGCCTATCCTCTGCTTGATAGTCACCCAGGCATACTGAGCATCTGCAGAAAAACAAAACATGCCTCTTTGGTTGAGAGAATGCTAAAAGTTCTAAGGAATTATTTTCATCTAAAAAGAACACACCATCATGGAAATAATTTTGAAATTATATAGTAAACTATTAGCTGTACTTTGTGCTAAATAAAAATTTATGGACATTAAGACGTGTTAGTTTTAATTTAATATGATTTTGAGAAATTCAACCATATTTGTTTGAAACAATAAGGCCATGTCTGAAACAATTACTGATTTCAATATTCACCAAAACAATCACTCAGATTTTATGGCATGAATCGATTCTTTTGACAATTTTTTTTAATAATAGCTCCAATAATTTATTTATCCAACTGTTTGTATCTCATCCTGTCATCAAACTTGTATTAGGCTGGATGGTCATCTTGTCTTACTCCTGGTCTCTCTGTGTGGAACAAAACGAGATTATCTAGAAGAAAAATGATATACATCTTCTGGCCACAACATACAAAGTATTGGTGATCCCACTAAATAGAAAGAAACCCAATCCTTTGTATACATGGAAGTATTAATTTTTGTTTTGTTTTGTTTTTTTCTTTTTGTGGCCAATAAATAGAAAGAAACCCAGATTGATCACTGACATAGAACGTTTGAAAGAAAAACAAAGCTAATACACTTAAGCAGTCATTGCATTCCAATTACAGAAAACAAAAGCATCATGATTAACTTAAAAATATCAAACACAGAGGCAAAATTGACAGAAAAGAAGGAAAGGCCCACTCACTGTGTATCTCTGACGGAGAAGCTCTCCTTATATACAATAATGGGTAGCATCTCTCTCAGTTCTTTTTTCAAGCCCAATTCAACCTGCAGGTAAACCATTTTAACATAAAAAAATGATATGAACCCAAAATGCAAACAGATAAACAAACAGTGAAACAGATGGACAGAGAAAATAAATAACTCTTACAGTGGCAATGTCGTTGTTAATCTGTGGAGAAGTTGTCATTCTAAGAGACGACCAATTGACCCGTCGAGGGCGAAGATAGAACAAGTAGAAGACGAAGAGGAGGATGAAAGTGAAGAAGATTGGTACACAGAACACGAAGAACTGGTAAAGCTTGAATTGACCTGAAGGACTTTCTTTTGACTTACTAGAAGAGTCTGACGAGTTTACGCAACATCTCGGATATACATGATTATAAGACATCACCTCAAATCCCCTACTACAGGCTACAAAAATGAAATTAATTAGACAAATTTGAGAGTCTTGTCTTGAAAATAAGATCTCAATGAACAGAATCCAGTGAGCAATGAACTGAGAGAGGGGAAGTGTGGTTTGAAGATACACTTCTTCAACGGCTCAAATCTAAAGGAGATTCCATATTATTGACAAATGATTGAGAAAAATGTAAAAGTTTTGAAGAAGACCCAGACGAGAGAATTTGAGACAGATTTGTTTGATGAAAAGCAGTAGCATATACCACTAAGATGAAAAGATTTAGAAGCAAGCACAGAGAGAGAGAGAGAGAGAAGCAAAGAAGATTGTAGTGGGAAGAAGTGGTATATAAATTATAATTATAATAAAGTGAAGTAAAAAAGAAGAGTTGGGTGCGGGAATGAGGATCATGAGATGAGACGATGACATTCTGAGTAGATCACAGATGCCATGCCAACTTGCCCAAGAACTGCACGTGTTATCACCATACCCCAAGCCAAGGCTAGTGCTCCTGCACTGTCAAACAACTTCACTCACACTTACAAATGCCCATCTCATCAATTTTAGCCGTTGGATTCATTAATTAAATAGCCCCTTTTTTTTTAATGCGGATTAAATAGCCATTATGTGCCCATTTGGCATTGCTTATTTGGGGCGATAAGTAATTTAAAAAAAAATTGGGAAGCCTAGCCCATTTGGTAAACTATGAGAAAATCACTTATTGTTAAAAATTGATGTGATAGAAAGCTATAAGGGAAAATAGATAATGAGGTGTTTTCATTTTCTAATTATGCGGGAATCAGTTTCAAAGATGAGCTGGGTTTAATGATTATGTATGAATCATTTTCTGATTATGTGGCAATCAGTACCAACAACACTTTTAACAAAAAGTTTACCAAATGCCAAATTGCTTTATCTCACATTTGATTTCTCTCACAGCAAATCTGACAACGATTATTTTCACAGCACATCAATGCCAAACTGGCCCTACGTGATGTCCAATAGTGATTAAATAAAAATTTTCAATTATTTTGCATTTAGCTGATTTCACAACTACATCTTGATTCGAATATAAGGTTTTCTATTACCAACAAAGTCTAGTCCAATGAAAAAGTGCCTTTATTTGCAGATCAATAATTTCATATTTAAACACCATAATATCTTGATAGTGTATGTGTAGGAAACCCTCCGCCTTAAGGCTTGTGATTTAAATAAAAAAAAAAATTATGTTTAATTCTTTTTTCAAAAACATGAAAGAAGACACATTGACAGACAGCGTTAAATAAATTTGAGCACAAAATGGAAAACCTCAATCAATCTTTTTCCTATCCTTTTCTAGAATAGCCTAAAAAACCCAATGAAAATATATCATTCTATATCATGATAACATCCTAAGGTTTTTGAAGTTTCGATAATATAGGTTAGAGCATTTGCCAGAAGGTCAAGTCAATTACACTGTAAAAATAATAAACTCAAGCAACTTTCTTCCCTCTGATAAACAACCAATTAAAAAACACAGACAAAAGACAAAAGGAAGAATAAGAACCAGACACTACGTGATCGTGATTTCATCTCCTATCAGCTCCATTACATTTCATCATGAACCAAAAAACCAGGAATAAAACCAATCGTCATTATTGTAATCAATCACAAGCCAAGCTCTAACTTATATAAAATGTTAGGGGAGAATAAACATCCACCTTTCAGAACTTATACCTACCTGGAAACAGAATCCACAGTGGAAAAAACTATATTATACATTGTGTTGTGACCAAAGCATATGTTCTCTCACATTCTCATGCTTGACAAAAACACTGGTTTAGACATATCCAACATGCCAATATAAAATCATTTACATCCATTAACCACAAAGTGGACGAAAGAATTGTGACTACTATTGCTGACCTGCCAAAACCATCCACCTAAACACAACATGGGTGCGAGGCACCAATTTCTTCATTCACTGAGTCTTTGGTTTTTGAATCTTCACATAAGGGAAGAACCCCATTAAGTGGATTACTGCTGGATTCCATCCCAATTGCTCAGCACGACAGAACATTAAAAATGTGTTTGCAAAATAAGAATTAAACCCCATAAAGACGTGCCACAAAGCATGACCTTGTGGGTTAACGTACCAGCCACAGACTTCCCTGCACAAGACGCGATCCAAAAGCCAACAAAGAACCCCTAGGGATATGGTGCCCAGATACAACTTTGCAAGCCACTTGGCATTTACATCTTTTGTGTGGATGTAGTACTTGTACATTCGAGGAATGCAGAGAAGACAGAGTATCACATAGTGTACCTTAAAGCCAATTCTAAATCGTACAAGCGAATGGGATACAGCAAATACAGCGCCATATAGAAACAAGAAGGTGGGCATTGTGCTACGATAGTGCCAATCCGGTGAGTAAAGGATGTAGATATATAAAAGCATTTCCCATACCATTGGTGTTTCATCGCCTTGCTGCTGCCTGGAAACATATAGAAATATCTCAATTATTTCAGATCGAGTAGTAGATAAAATAATCAAAACTATTTAAGTCATATACACAAACACAAGCTAATTTTGACCGACCAGTGCAACATGGCTGATGGGGCCTACAGCTCACAAATATCAGGTGTTTAGTTGTAGGGGTTTATCAACAAAGAGATACAACTATGAGGTAAGGTAACAGAATTATATTCATATTGACTTAGACACCCACAGATTAGTAACAATTAACATAAGTTTTCATGCTTTATGAAATCTTTTGGTAGTGTGGAATCAAACATCATCTTTTGCTTCAAATATCTTTTTCATACTCCAACATTACATTATGTAAGTGGTTTATGCATATATTTGCCCCTCCCATATAACAATTCCTCTGAATAAAATAGAAAAAGAGAAAAGGTAAAAAAAAAGCTAGTAAGAAAGAAAGAAAGAAGTGGTTGTGCTAGTAAGAGAAAACAATGTCTATAGGCAATAAGACAAAAAATTTGCAGAACAATATCAAATATTATCATCAAGAACTTTATCGCAATTCACCAGTGTCTCATCAAAGGTTTGCAGAACACTACTGAATTTCTATATATCAAGGCCAAATTATCAGTTCGAAGCTTCTGAATTTTTTTTTCACAACAATCACATACACAGCTACCATGCCCCTATGATGCTCTCAAGCCTTTATCCTAGACCATCTCATATTGTCATTCACTCAAATACACCCGACGCATCTTAAGAACTCCAAATTACATCATATTTCATCTACTGCAGCTGCTCAATTGCAACTGGAAAAGATAGCACATAAGCACTGTGTTGACTGGCACATAAGTGGACCGCTCATAAGTGACCCCTGCCATCAGCGATCCACAAAATACCTACACCTATGCAAGCTTTAAAGGAACTAGTGTAGACATCTTCATAACAAATCGAAACAATGCCAGAAATGCATCACTGCAAACAACAAGCAGCCCAAATTAATATCAAGGCACAACCTTTGCCACCTCAACCACCACATTACCACCCTATCCTAACCACATTGCTGCCATACCTCAGCTACACCTACACCGCCATGGCCCATCAAGAGATCAAACCACGATCCAGTTACTAATCAAGCTCAGATAGTATATCCCGCTAGATATATGACAACACTACTTGGCAAGCCAAATTGGAATATCCCCTTTTTCATATTACTTTACTTCTTTTCAATTCAGACAGTAAAAGAACTGCAAGTGTACCTTTCGTAAAGGAATTTGAAGTTGAGGAATAACATAAGGACCCATTCATTTTTTTTATGAAGAGAACTAAAATAACCATCATAAGCATGTCACATGTGCACACGCATTACAATACAAAACAAGATAAAAGGTTGTGATTCATCTATTTCCCAGTGAATCCATCAATAAAAGGTCTGCCAGCATTGAGATCAGAGAGAGGACATTGAGCAAGAACACTGAAGCAGCTGTTGTTTATGGAAAAATAGAAATAAAAAGAATAGAAAAGACACAGTAGAAAAGGAATACTTACAGACGCTGCAAAGTGGCATGGTAAAGCATGCTCCCAATAGCAAGTATCATATTGGAGATGTGAAGAACGCTAAATCTCTTCTCAAAGCGTTGCCTCAAAGCATTGATAAGGCCAATGAGTGCCAACAAGATGCCGGGGATATTCGATATAGTGTTGAAGAACTCGGCAATGTAAGAAGAGTAGACATAATTTTGCTCACACCAATCTTTGGATGTGACAGGACCCCAAAAGCTGGATAAGCCATCTCCCATAATTCGATAAGTATTTACTCAACGTTCACCAGGATGATCTTGTGGAGTTCAGAAAACCTGCGATCATGCCATTTTTAAAAGGTAATCGAACAGAAAAAACAAAAAACTTGGAAAAAGTCAACGAACAAGTGCTTACTTTACCAGTTATAAAATAACCAACAGTAAACTCAGGAAAAAAAACATAATTATCCACACTTAAATTTAGTAAGAGTTACATCTTCTCTTGTCAAATGCTCTGAGAAGAAAAAAAATTGCAACTGAAAGTTGAAACTAGGCAGTTATGTCTCTAATATTACAAGGGTAGAAGAAGAGAAAGAAGGAAGAAAGGAAGGAAGGAATGGATACCTGGAAGGAATTAGGCAGTGAGAGTGAGAGTAACTTGTATATGCCGTCACACATTCAACAACATCCAGGTAATAAGAAGAATAATAACAAAATCACCACTTCCTCTTCTTTATGCTGCTTCTCACGGTGGTGGTGCCGCCAGAGAGAGAGGCAACTGCAACTGCAACACTCGGATGTAAAATTAGGGATTGGAATTGGTTGAGGAATTTTGAAAGCGACTCGGCTTGGCTTGGCTTCGTTGTGACGTTGTATTTGTATTGTAAATTGGAGGGATGGGAATGGGATGGGATCTGCTTTGCTTTTAGACCGCGTTGGGTTCGCGTGGATCGTAGGCTCACATGGCAAACACTAACTGCCAAAAGGAAAAAGGCGCACACGGAAATCCATTTTCCGGTTTCACACAATAACTCAACTCAATTGATTTGTGGATGGAGAGCGTAACTCTTTTTTAATGTTGTAGTCTTGCCGACATGAGTTTAGCCAAATTGGCTATAACGGATGTATTCTCCACTCTACATTTGAATTTGAATACCTTTCCCTCTAATAAACTATAAGGGGGTGTATTCAATTTAGATTTTAAAAGATTTTAAAGAAGTTTAAAAGTTTAGATGTATTCAATCACGATTTTATAGAAATCTATTCAATTCTAGATGTATTCAATTCAGAATTTTTAAACTCTATTAGTTATATTTTCATCCATTAACTCCAAAAATAGTTGCAAAGGTCCCTCAATTATGTATCGTGCAGCAACGGCTCCAAGATTTTAGAGGCCCTTTGCCAAAACAACAAGAGGGCCTTCTAAAATAAAGTTTTCAACAAAATTTTTTAAAAAAGAATCAAACTATATAATCAAAGTCTTGTGATCATCAAATTACTAATTATCAATAACCAATAAAAAATGATAATATACAAAATATGAGAATTTGAGAGAGAGAGAGAGAGAGAGAGAGAGAGAGAGAGAGAGAGTTGAGTGGTTAAAGTTGTATGTTAGAGATCTCTTATATGGATCTAGATCCTCTGTTATGATTTTCTTTGTCATGATCTGCTTGACTTTTGTTCTCCACACGCCACCTCATTAAATTTTAATTTAAGAGATTTAAAAGTTGACACATTATCTTAAATTAAAAAGAAAAAAACTATAACCCCCATGTCTCTACCCCACAATCTTACCTTTCTTTTCCTCAAACCTCTGTAATCATAATCCCTTATCTTTTCCCTATCAAAAGAAAAAACAACAACTTCTCTTCCCATATCCACTGTTTGATAAGTGTGATTCCAAAGAAAATATTCCTTTATACTGACTTTCAACCTTTGTTAAAAGAATAATATCATTTCCAAGGCTAGATGGGTTATGGGTCTAATTTTTTGTCTTAAAATGGCTTTGGATAAAGGTGTTAATAGGCTCATCGTTGAAATGGACTCAGCTCTTGGTGTTCAACTTATCCAGCAAACTATTGCATATCGTTTCCGTTCTCTTGCTGGTTTACTTCATAACTGCTGTACTCTTTGAAGACAGTTTGAGAACTATCATATTCAACATATCCCCAAGGAGAAGAATTACCTTGCTGTATGTTTTGCAAGATGGAGTTACAATATGGATTTGGGCATTTGATTTTTTGAAAATGCCCCATTGTGGGCTAGTGATGTGTTGGTTGATGACTTGCTAAGGGCCTCTCATGGCTCGTCAGATCTAGGGATGGCAAAAATCCCAGTGGGGACAGGCCCGAACCTAACAGGGGGAGATTTCGGGGCCAAAAGGGTATCGGGTATGGGGATTCCCGAACTTGAATAATCCCCTACAGGTATGGGGAGGGGATGGTATTGGCGTCCCCATCCCCAAACCCGACCCGAAAATATATATGTTTATACTAATAAATAAATAAATAAAATATTTATGTTTAACCCTAAGTTAAGCTCCATCTCCTAATTCTTCCTAATTATCTATGGAACTTCGTATTGATATGATTTTAAATAGTTGAGTTGAACTTTATAGTTAATTTGGATATGTTGAATGATAATTTAATATGAAACTTAATGTTAATGTTAAAATGTATGATAATTTATGCAAAAAAAAATCGGGAATTCTGAGCAGGTATAGGAGATAGTCCCCCGATGGGGACGGGGACGGGAATTCCCCGAAACCTATTAAACAGGGATTGGTTCGAGGATGGAGAGCGGGGACGGAGATAATATTGTCATACCCGGCATCTACTTGACCCGTTGCCATCCCTAGTCAGATCCCCTTGGATAAAACTTAGTTGTTCTTTGGGAGTAAATTGGGCTTTTGTTTTTAGGATGATGTGTCAACTTTTAAATCTCTTAAATTAAATTTAAATGAGATGGCGTACAGATAACAAAAGTCAAGCAGATAATGACAGAGAAAATGCAAGCAGACGATCCAGATCCAAAGTGTAATTCGATATCTATATATATAAAGCAAAAGACAGAGAATGGTAAAACATTCAAAATACCAAAAAATGTAATTGGTTAATGCAAACATTAAGAATTGAAATTATTAATTAAATGAGAATAATATGGTAAATTCACTTTTTTTCATATTAAATAAAATTAATATTAAAAGAAAATTCGTATAATGAATCTTATTTTTATGGAATACAACTACCTATTATCTTTTTTAATTCTAAAATAAATTTAATTTTTTTATAAAAAAACCTATAGTAGGCTCGGAAGTGCGTGCAGAGAAGCTAATTATATTTAAGGGAGATTCACTATTATACCCAAAATAGGGGCTCAAATTATAAAAATACCGTATATAAAATGGATTTTAGAAATATACCCAAAGTCCATTTACAACATAACAAATAGACTTTTAACTTCTTATAAATTACAAAACTGAAATTGATTTCTTAAAACAAGCCCAACCCCAAAAGCTTATAAAAAACTCAAAACTCTCAATAAGGTATCAAAGTAATTTAATAATAAAAAATAAATAAAATAGAACCAGCTATTATTTTTGGATGGTTTTTTTGGGTTTGTTTATTGCCCTTCCTTTCTTTTTCCTGGTCTGAATTTCCTGGTCTGAACGCGCGAGTTAGGTTAGGTTTTCATCTCTCTCTCTCTCTCTCTCCTCGCAGGTCTCTCTCTTCTCCGGCCAAACCCCTCTCCCGCCGCTCTCTCTCTCTTCTCTACTTCGATCTCACTATCAGTCGATCAGCCACCGCGCCGCCTCCAGCCCTGCACGCAGGTCAGCTTCTCTCTCTCTTATCTGTTCTTTTTTCCCCGTCGGTTCTTTGCTCCGCTAACTCTCTCTTTGCTCTCTCTTCTTATCTCGATTTTTCTATGTTTCTCAGTCTCAGTTAATGATCGCCGACAAAATCTATTCCTCTCCTGCGATTTTTTCTGTGGGTTTCTCTCTCATATCAGTTAAAGGTGAGAGCATCATCTTCCTTTGAATTTAGGGTTTATTCTAAATTAAACATGTTTTTTTTCTTTTAAATTAGGCTTGTCGATTTGGTGGTTGAGGTTGATGTGATGATATATTTTTTCTGTTTAGGGTTTAGGGTTGTCGAATTAGGGCTGCTACCAATTAGGTTATGTTGTGCTGTGATGATTATTTGAAATTGACAAAGAAATTATGAAATGTTGGTTTCATTGAACTAACTAGGGCTGCTACCAATTAGGTTCTTCTGTTAAATTATACTGTTGTGATTATTTGGTTGTCCTTGGTGGTTCTGTTTTGCTAAATTAATGTTTGTTTTATGAAATTAGGTTATGTGAAACTACTAGGTTCTGTTTCTGCTGCTGCTATTCTGTTGTTATTCTGCTGTATTAATTATGTTTATGTTTCTTTTTGTGAAATAGGTTATGCTGCATGCTAGGTCTGTTTTTATTGGTTAGTTTCTGTTTTTATTAAAGGAGAGATGGACCAATTTGAACACTTGCCTAGTAGTAATGAAGCCTGTTCTTCTTCCGCATCCACATCATCACCATCACCTATTATACCAATTCCCCAACCTCAAGTCCAAACACCAACTTAGTCCCAACCTCGAGCCCAAACACCGCCTCAATTGGGTGGTCTTCCACAATTACCTCCTTCTGGGACTAGATAATCATCCATAGAAAATTGGAATCAACAAACGGAAAGAAATTGAAAAACTATTTGTCGAATATTGTCCGTTGTTTTTCAAGAATAGACATTTTCAAATTTCAATACTAAGATGAAATCTTTTAATTTAGGCTTGAAAATCCCCAAAACTAGAGGCCCCAACATAGATTACTGGAAATTAGTGGAAAAAAAACAGCAAATAAGATAAAAAGCCCTAATATTTGGATTAGGGTTTCAGAAACGCTTCAAAAAGGTTAGAAAGCACAAAATTACTGAAACAAAAAAGTAATTAATTTTTCAAAACCCTAATTTTTGGATCAGGGATTTTGGATCTAACCTTTGAATTAGATGCAAGTGCACATATCATTGCCACTCCATAGACTGAGAGAATAAAATTCGAGAGAGAATAACGATGTTGGTACAATAGCCGAGCGGCGGAGAGAAGGAGATCGAGTGTTAGAGATAGAGAGAGTGAGTGAGAGACTAATAGTCGATAGAGAGTGATGGCAGTGGTATGAGGCATAGAACTAAGAGAGTGATGGCGGTGGTGTGAAACTGTCCGTCTCTCATTCACTCTCTCTGTCTCTGATGCTCAATCTCTTTCTCTTTGCTGCTCGGCTGTTGTACCAACGTCGTCATTTGCTCTCAACTTTTATTCTCTCAGTATCTGGAGCGGTGGAGCCAATCATTGGTTAAAATTTGATAAATAGTAATTTTCAATTCCTTTTCGTTTGTTGATTCCAATTTTGTTCCAAACGCTGGAATGGAAATTTAAAATCGCAGATTATGGAGGTTGGAATCTTCTGGAGTGTTCTTGGTCAAATCATTTTCTGCCCACTTGATTGCTAATCCTTCCTCACCTATTTTCCCTCCTTCTTGTGTAATTGGGAAGGCTAAAGTACCCCCCAAGGTAAAACTGTTATTTGATTCAAAGAAAAAATCCTTGTTTATATTTCTCTCCTAGCTGGTGTATTTTGTGTAAATGTGCTAATGAAACACTGGATCGCTTATTTATGTCTTGCCCAATTGTCTCCTCTTTGTGGACAAGATGTCAGGAGACTGGGATGATCTAGGGCAATTATAATTCTTGCTATGACTTTCTGGGGTCAGGGATGAATTTCTTTGGAGGAAGGAGGGGTGTAATTCTGGGCTATTGTGCAGTGATGGCGCTGTTCTGTGTGGTGTGGGGAGAGAGGAATAGAAGAATTTTTGAGAATTTGGAGGGGGATGAGATCGAATCAGGTTTTGGACATCGCTGTGGGCATCTACATACTCTGAATTTAAGGGCACGAGCTTGAGTTTCATTCTATTAGATTGGAATGCTGCAATTGTGTAGCTTGTGTTTAGCTTAGCCTTTTGTTGTTTAGCTTCCTGCAGCCTCCTATAGGTTAGCTTTCTGTAGTTTTTTGTTTGTGTTGTAGGCCTTTAGGCCCTGTGGCTCCCTTAGCCACAATTCTTTTGCTTTCTTGTCTTTGGCAATAAATTATCATTTCTTTTCAAAAGATGGAAATTTAAAATCGTTCCATTACAGGATAGTTAGGAAAGGGGATACAATTCCTATTCCTATTCTAGCATTCCGTCCAAACAAATGGGGCCAAGGTGTTTAAGATTTTAAAAATGTAAGAGGAAGTGTGAAACGAATTAAAGAAGCACAGAATCGAAAATTAGCATCATGCCTCAGATTTTTGACCATATGTGCAAGAGTTTATCTCCTAGTGTTATCATATAGTTGGATATTTTAATTATCCCAACAAGAATATTCCTTTTCTTGTCTCTAGATAATGATTTAGCCTCAGATTTTCGGGTTTGAATGTAATTGTTGCGGTACTGTATCCATCTTGAAAATAAGTTTATGTTTTGCATAAATTTAGGTGATATACGTGCAAGCTCAAGCAGAATACACATTGTCGGATAATGGCTGTTCGGACTTCCACTAAACCGAATCTATATGATGATGAGGACGAGAAACCTTTAGTTTTTAAACGGTCCAACACAAAATCTAAACAAAATCAGTTAGATGGCCAGTTAAAACAGTTACCAGAACAGAATAAGTCTACCACAATTAAGGAGGAAAGTAATTCTATTGAACATCCTGCTGAAGAAAATAGTGATTCTGAAGATGCAAAACCAATAAAAGCCCGACTGGGGAAACCTTGTGAAGATTCGGATGATGATAAACCTTTATCATCAAGGATTACACCAAAGAAGGTGGGAACTTCAGGCAGTCAGCCTTATGATTCTAAAGAAAGGAAGCTTGTGGCTTCAAAAGTTCAGAAGAATTGTTCCAGCACAACAGATAAGGGCAAAACTTCTTTTGTGATCTCTACTAAGAGGCCTCTAGATAAGGCCAATATTTCTGAGAAGTCCTCAGCTAAAAGGCCAAAAGTTTCAGATTCTTCTACATCTATAAAGAATATGCAGGTATCAGCCAAAAAAGAACCAAAGGAAGAAGATGATGACGACTTCATTCCAATTTCCCAGAGGATTAAGAAAGCTACATCAGATAATAAATCACCTGTGACAAAGCAAAAGGTAACAAAAGTTGGCCCATCCTCAATCAAGAAAAAGATCAAGAAGGGCCAAAAAGCTTCGCAATTTTCAAAGTATTCTAAGTCTACAACAGTTCCACCAAGCTCTAATGATGGGCAGAAAAAATGGACTAGTTTAGTTCACAATGGTGTCATTTTCCCACCTCCATACAAGCCTCATGGGGTTAAGATGCTTTATAGTGGGAAGCCAGTCACCTTGAGTCCTGAACAAGAGGAGGTCTCTCTCTCACTGATTTATATTTCCTGCTTCGTATATTCCAATATCTTAATGAATTAAGTTTCCTTTATTCTGGATTACTTTCTTCATAGTTTCTGAAAGTTTTGAAGTGCAGGTTGCAACAATGTATGCAGTGATGAAAGATACAGATTATGTGCAGAAACAAACATTCAGAAACAATTTCTGGAATGATTGGCATAAGTTGCTTGGGAAGAACCACATAATTCAGAAATTGGATGCTTGTGATTTTACCCCAATATATGACTGGTATCAGAATGAAAAGGAAAAAAAGAAACAGATGAGTACGGAAGTAAGTCAGTGGCTCTAATGTATACCCATTATCTAATGAATAAAGCTAACATTTTGAGTTAAATTACAAACCAAAATATCATTTTGTATTCGTTAAGTGGTTTTACTTCTTTGATTCATTTTTCTGCATTTCTTCCCCATTTTTTTTGTAATAAGAAACAATGACAGACTTCACAACTGTATTCAGCTCAGTTTTATTATTCAACAATATATTTCTGGCGTGTTAGGGACTATAAATGAGAACTATGTTTGAGACTCCGCATTTAGCATGGAGTTACAACTTTCTGTCTCTTCCTGAAGAGATCCCAATAAGGATGCTGTAGTGGCATTTTAAGAGGTCTTTAGGAGTAGGGATTGTCAGATCTACGTATATTTAACTGGTTAAATGTTTATTGAAAGATGCTTTGTTAATCTATATCACAATAAAGTATTGTCCATCTTTATCCAATTGCATCTCTTCCAAGAACGCTTGCCACGGGCTTCACATCTGTTGTCAATAAAGATACAATATTTTGATAAGTCATGATGAAATATGTTCTAAGTATCACCTGACCGTCCTGTATAATACATCAATTGTCGTCCACAGTTTCCTATGTAATGGAAGTGGTTCATATATTTAGGTCAAAATTGATACATCATTTCATGTTACCTGCTCTGCAGAAGATTTACCTTATGCCTCCTTGTTGCAAAATTTATAAGGCGTTTCTGTTTATGCAGGAGAAGAAGGCCTTGAAGGAAGATAAACTCAAAGAAGAGGAGAAGTATATGTGGGCCGTCGTCGATGGTGTAAAAGAGAAGGTTATCTCTAGCTTTGATTGATTTTACCCTGTAACCTAGGTTGCAATCTGGTTAATCCACTCTGCAATACATGTACAAAATATATGGGAGCTTTTCTGGTGGGTGTGAATCTGGTAGTGCTATATCATCACATGAAAAGTTTGCCGAGTGATTTGTGACTGCAATGTTAATACAGGTTGGAAACTTCAGAGTTGAACCACCTGGATTATTCCGAGGTCGTGGAGAGCATCCAAAGGTTTTCATTTTATTTTATTTCATGTTATTTTTATTTATGATGCAGATTTCTGTGTTGTCCATGATGAGATAGTTTGATATGTGGTGGCTGAGTGTTGAATTGTTTACAATGATTCTGAATTCTCTTTGCATATGTTGCTGTTCTTTCTTGCTATATATGGTATCAGTCGGGGAAGCTGAAAAGGCGGATTCGTCCAAGTGATGTTACAATTAATATAGGAAAAGATGCCCCAATTCCAGAATGTCCCATCCCTGGTGAAAGGTTTTATTCTTCATGATCTAAGTGAAAGAAAAAGAACTCATTTACTGTCAAAGATTCAAAGGATAATGCTTTTCCTATTAGATTTTATCTCTGTGTTATTTTCATTCACCAATTTTGAGTTTAAATTGATACATGTGTCCCGTACAGCTGGAAAGAAGTAAGGCATGACAATACGGTTACATGGTTAGCTTTCTGGAACGATCCAATTAATCAAAGGGAGTTCAAATATGTGTTTCTGGCACCTAGTAGTTCCTTGAAGGGGCAAAGCGACAAGGAAAAATATGAGAAAGCAAGGATGCTGAAGGTGTTCAGATGGAGATATGCCCATAAGCTTTTTATGATAGTAGTTTATTATACTTTTGGATAACATAGAAGATGCTTGTCAACATATTGATGAAACCCTGTTATTTTTGAGTGCAGGACTACATAGGAAACATCAGGGCTGCATACACTAGGGATTTTACTAGTAAAGATGGTACTAAGCGGCAGATAGCAGTTGCTACATATCTCATTGATAAACTTGCTCTCAGGGCTGGAAATGAGAAGGTGTAGTGTGTGGACTTACTTCAGCTGTGCATAGAAGCAATTGGCCTTTTTTTTTTTGTTGGTTTTGGTATTTTTGTATGTCTTTGTTTTTTAACAAGGTTATGTAAGCTAACAAGTGATGTAAACATTAGCCAGACCATGGAAATATACTCTCCAAACAGAGTGGTTTAATACAGCAATAGGATCTCTGTAGCTAGAGCAAGCATGACAATCAAAGTTAAACCATTTGTCCACAAAGAAGTGGACGAAATTGTTTGTGCTTGAATTTTAATGGTCATTCTACTGCAGGACGATGATGAAGCTGATACTGTTGGTTGCTGCACTTTAAAAGTAGAGAATGTAAAAGCAGTTGCCCCTAACTCGTTGGAGGTAATCCCTTGCTTTTGTAGAAATTTAAAATCATTGCTGGTAGTTTGCCAGTATATTATCACTAGGAAATGACCAGTCAACTCTGTTTTTTATAATTTCAGTTTAACTTCCTTGGTAAAGATTCAATCAGATATGAAAATACTGTTGAGGTTGAGATTCCTGTTTACAAGGCAATTATACAGTTCCAGATTGGTGAGTAGGTGGCTTTCTAAATTTCATATTTCCTTTTTTTCGTAATAGAAGCTCACAAAATATGTTTGACTTTCTTTTCCTATTTGCTTCAGGGAAACGTGGCTGTGATGATCTCTTTGACAGGTTGGATACCAGTAAATTGAATGCTCATCTAAAGGAACTGATGCCTGGCCTTACAGCGAAAGTGTTCCGTACCTACAATGCTTCTATTACATTGGATAACATAGTAAGTTAATGCGGGCCTTCACTGACTTTGAACCTTGTATGCTCTTATGTGTTTTATATGAGAGTTATGATTTTTGTGTTTCAGAAGAAAATTCTAATCGCAAGGAGCTTTCATAAAGATTAGAGAACTACTATGTTTTACATATACAAACCTGTACTGCAGTGGTGCAGTTATACAGTTGAGGGAAACTTCAAAAAAATTTACTTCATGTGTATTTTATTAGTTGTCAAAATAGATTGAGGTTGATCTACATGTTTGCATTGTCAAAGTAGATTGAGGTTGATCTACATGTTTGCATTATTTTATACACCAAATTTTCATGAATAGGAGAATACACCAATGCGTAGAAGTTGAGGCAACCTCCCTAGATCATTTAGTTGTGTGATTTATATAGATTTTTTTAATAAAGTTTGAGGTGGCTTTGTCAATGGTACATTATCAAAAAATTTAATTTTTTTTTAGATATTTCCATAAGGCATATAAAAAACAAGGTATTGCGATGATTGTTGACTAGAAACTGTTTATCCATCTGATGACTGTTGTGATTGCAAAATATTCAGTAGAGTCAAGATACGATGTACATTCATCATATTCCCCAATCCTAGTTACTTAGATATTGGGTCTCATCTGTATGTTTCACAGCATTAACAATGATAATAGTCTTTAGCTTGTTCTCGACTTTTAACACCTTTTCAAGTTTTATTACTTGTGTGGGTCACTTTCTCATTATCCTGCCCATCTCCCTGTTTCAGTTTCCTGTTATGATAATTCTTCTCTTTTTCCTTTTTTCCATGGCCTGATGACAGTTGAACAAGGAAACGAAAGAGGGAGATCTTTCAGAGAAAGTTGTTGTTTATCAGCATGCAAACAAAGAGGTATAGCAGTCAATCCCTTGAGAATTTGTACTGAGCGAATAGTACTGTTCCTGTTGACTCAGTGGCATCTACAATTTTTGGCATTTCATTGCAGGTTGCCATAATTTGTAATCATCAGCGTACTATCTCAAAGACTCATAGTGCACAAATGTCTAGGTTACTTGAGAAGATTGGTAACCTTCAGGTAACGACCTTATCTGGGGCTTCACAAAAATGTTATGGTCATGCTTGAAAACTGAATGGTGTAACTTTCTGCCTTGGGAAAAATTTAGAGTGTTAGACCAACTGCTCTCTTTCTCACTTTTCTAAGAAGGAAAGAGGAAAATTTAAAAACAGAAACCTCTGTCTGACTGGGTTTATAAACTCATGAATCTTAAAATGCATGTCTATTTCTTGCTTGGGAACTAAAAGAGGAAAATTTTAAAATAGTAACCTCTTTGTCTGACTGGGTTTATAAACTTACGATTCTTAAAATGCATGCCTCTGTCTTGCTCGGGAACTAAGTCTCTTATTGGATTGTAGAGCATCCTGAAAGAGCTGAAACAGATTTGGACAGGGCTAAAAAAGGAAGGCCCCCACTGAAAGATGCTGATGGGAAACAAAAAAGAAATTTGACCCCAGAAGCGTAAGTTTACTTGTTTGCTTATTTGAACCAATGTCTGGATATGGCCTTTTATATTAATTTTTGGATTGACACAGATTAGAGAGGAAGATAGCTCAAACGACTGTAAAGATTGAAAAAATGGAACTGGATATGAGAACCAAAGAGGATCTGAAAACGGTGGCATTGGGAACGTCCAAAATTAACTATCTTGACCCTAGGATCACTGTTGCATGGTGCAAGCGACATGAAGTTCCAATTGAGAAGGTAGGCTCTTGTGATTTTGTTTTCGAAATAAATAATATTAGCAATACTTAGGCTTCCATTTCTGATTCTTTGAACAAAGTGGAGGTGGATTTGTGGGTGGGGTGTATATATCTCCAATTATAGTGATATGTACTTTTCATTTGGTTTAGATTGGCTAATTGTTTGTATGCCCTGCTACATGCTTGACCATTTGCTATTGACACAGATATTCAACAAGTCTCTCCTGGCAAAGTTTGCTTGGGCAATGGATGTGGATCCTGACTTCAGATTCTGATATTTGGAGATGTGTTGCTCGCATAGACGCCATCCCCCCCATTTCAAATTGAAAGAAAGAAAAACAAGCCAATCTCACTTTTGATCCTTTATAGAACATCACATTTTTCCCGTGTTTTTTCTTTCGGCGGAAAATTCTTGTTGTATGTTAATTAATTTAGTGATTGGCTGAGTGGCCTTCCCCCCTGACATTTCATTTGTCGTCTCTTCTCTTTCCTGGATCGCAGGAATAGTTTATTTACACTTTGAGAACCTCCATACTGATTCTAAAGATGTTTGAGATGCATCTATATTGGGAATCTGAGATCATCAGAGTCGTACTGTTTACTTGTTTATCTTAGTTTTCTAGGATCCAATCCTGGTGCTGCAAGGCTGTTCAAGACTGTCAGGTCCACGTTGATTTCTCTAATATTACTTCGACTTGTATATTTGTACCAAATCTTCGATGATGTGATTATTTTGAAAAGTATAATGATGTGGTTGAGAATGTGAAGGCGGATGGGACCAAATCTTCGATATGTAGAAAGAAAGCTAGTAAAAAAAAAAGGATTTACTTGGAAAAAAAAGAGGGAAAGAAACCTCCTGCTTTCGGTTTTTGAAATTTGTATTGATTTTGTATTATCGTATTACTGCAGCTTTATGAATTTTCTCCCTTGTTTTATTTTTGGTGCAGCGTTTTGCTTTACTCTTCTGAATCAAGAGAAACTTTCTGCTTTAAGAAATTGTCTTAAAATTTCAGACGCCTAATTTTCAAATCTTTGGATCAGTGCCTGCCTGAATTCATAATCATATATCGTTTATTTTAAAGTGAGAGCAATAGCAGGCAGAGTAGTTTGAGAGTACACCAATATCTCCGACCCAAAAGGTTTCAAGATAATCCTCAATTTTATCAAGGTTTTAACTTCTCTTTAGTTGTGGAGGGGTAATTTGGTCAACAAATTATTTAAAAAATTCATTTACTTTTGAAAATAAGCGATAGTATATTATTGATGAACAACAAACAAAAGTACAAAGTAACTATATGCCAAATGTGGGTAAATCTTTTCCGGTCACCAAACACAACAACATATTGAATTAATCCAGAGAGAATCTGTTCACACCAAAAATTTTCCACACAGGCCCCATGAGAAGTGTTGACGTGGCATGGTCCCATTTAGTCACAAGCTAGGCCCAACTGACCAGATTCCAAACCCAAGATAAAGACCGAGCTTTAAGGACCCATGACCGTGACAACAGACTCGACCTAAGTAGAGGTTTTCAGCCGAAATGATGAAAGCTACAAAGCCCAGTAAGGGACAGGCTGAAACCATTTCAGCCCAAAGTCTAGAAACACGGCCCACGACCAATTCCAAATAGTAAAGACCCAGGGCCTGGAAAATGGAAGTCTTGATTAGTCACCACCATTGCCACATGGAATGACCACGTCACTTAAACAAAATATCAAGCAACCACGTGCAAACCAACCATTTGCAGCTCAAACCATGCGAGTGGCTTGGGATCTGTGATCGAGACGCATCGCCCATTTCACTCAACTCTGCACCACGTTCGCCTCGTCTCCCAGTTTTCGGTTAAGCCTAAGCCGAAATGGAACTGCGACCTGCACTCAGGGCCGAGGTCTTACACGTGCTAAATTCACACTGCTCAATGCCAAACTGCCGCATTTCTGTTCCCAATATCCGACAACATGCTTGGAAACTCACTACAGGTAAAGATTTGAGAATGTTAGAAGAATATCAAAGCCTGGAAACTAGCAACCGAGGCAGCGACCTTTCTTATTTCGGTTGTACTTTATCCCACATTGGCCAACTCACAGTTTACTCGACCTAAGACGCTAACGCATGCCTTGAAAGAGCCATTACCCCTATAAATAGAAGACCCTCATCAACGAACTAAGGGTACAAACACCAAATCAAAAAGCCACAACGAGCAAAAACCCACTTTGTCTACCATGTCAAAGATTTAAATGCTTTCTAGGAGTAGCAATAACTATCTGTAACTCTAGAAATCCTAGAGCTTGTTCTGGGTGAGTGGGTAGTCTCCATTTCCATCAATATTTATATAAACGAGAATAGTTCTTGGAGATACCAGCATTGCTTTAAGTCTTTTATTGAACACCATACTGTCGATCCATTCAGGTTCCCCTGTATACCCGCATTTCTTGAGGAGTCTGAAACGATAGTGCTACCAAGCCCAGTAAAGCCTATCATCATCGAGCTACCAAGTTCGGCGACCCTTTTAGTCAATCCGCACTTTTCCAAGAGAACCCACTGTGCTACTGAGCCTAGTGCCACCTTCGACCTGCTGTGCTACCGAGCCTAGCGCATCGCCGAGCTACCTAGTTCGATGACTCCATTAGTCACCCTATGTCTCCATAAACGGCATTGTAGCTTAAGTCGTGAACTTGAGGGCCGAGAACTGTTCCTCACTAGGCCATAATCATTTTATGCGAAGTAAGATCTAGGTGCACTCAACCACTCACCACATCTACTTATTACAAATCGCACTCTAGGCCGACTCAGCCCACGTGTTGGCATGCCTGCACATTGGACCACACCAATCAGGACGTCCGTGATGACCTTCAACCACTCGGCCTAAGAGACATTAGGAGGAAAAGATTTGGATGCCAACAATTTTGGCACGCCTGGTGGGATCCAATGGGATCATTTCAACTACCAACCAGTGGGATTTTATGCAAACTAAAGTAACTGGTGGGAAGACAGTTAACATGAATGTTGAGATCTTGATTCAGCCTCAAGATACAACAACCACAACTGTTATGCCTATTGAAGCACAAAGTTGCATGGTCCCAACCTCATAGATATCGATCGCAACGACCGACTTCCTTTTCAACCGGCCTAACTCTGACATGTGGAACTTTTCAGCGTACACTGATACAAGTGTTCCAACCTGAGATATCGTCTTTCTTGGAGGAGGCCATGGTAATCCATGGTCTACGATTGGAATCCTTAATTTGGCCGGTTTGAAAAACATGATTGCTAGCATATGCAGGATACTCCAAGAAAGGTAACCCTCTCACCTAAACGGCGACTTCGCCGACCAAACTGCATGAGAGAGATTCGGGAAATAGCCATGAATCACCACTCGGGGAGGACCTCGGTAAACCTTCGGCCTTGCCAAACGAGCAGTTTGGCTGACTTTTGTCATCTACCTTTACAACCAGGAGGGCAATCTCATCTCCAATCGTTGGTTTAATTCAGTCAGTTTCTAGGAGTCGATAAAGCTTAACAACATTGGAAGACAGATAAACTAGTCGAAAAGCGGCAAAGTAGGTTGCACCTACAAAAGTTTGGCAAGTGTGATACAAACCTAGAGCATTTTCAAACAACGGAGCCACCACCGCCACAAAGGCTCCAATTGGAAGATGAACGATGCATGATCGAGGATGGCTTGACCCATAAGCAACCAGAGAGGCCGAGATATGTTTGGCCTTATCCACTAGAGGTAGATCGTGTGCCATATCCTCGGAACTATTATCTACAAGATTTCACATTATTCTCTTGCGATTAAAACTTGTCATTGGTCGAGCATATTGGCCGGTTCTCGTCAGTGTGGAGATGCGGACTTCGATGACTTAAAATTTAGACTATTCGTCCATTCACTCATTGGCCTGACATTTTCGTGGTTCACTAACCTACTACCGTACTCGGTAAGAAATTGGAAGGAGATGAAGTGCATTTTCCATTGGCCAGGATGAACCAAATTCCCAGTGATTCACCTAGAGCCTATTTATTAAAGTTTAATACAAAGCAAAGACAACCATGAAAGTGGATACCGATCTCTTATTGAGGCCTCCACCAGCATGGTTGACGTTCATTTCCCTACTCAGATACCCCAAATAAGCAATTCTTGTAGACAGAAGGCTGATCTAACCATGGCCAATGTATCAGGGAAAAGAAAGAAGAAATCGCCATCGGTCGAAACCCAAATGGTTGATACTCATTTCCCCACTCAAATACCCTAGAGAAACAATTCTCCTAGGCCGAAGGTCAATCCGACGACGGTCGACGTACCAGGGAAAGGGAAAAAAAGTGTCATCGATTGAATCTGCACTTTATGGGATGTATGGAGGAGATCTAGGAGGAACGATCGAAAGCAAGCAGAAGAGAAACATACCTGAATCTTCTTGGTTAGTTTTGAAAAGGGTTGGAGTATACCCCAACTAAGCGTCCTTGGACACTAACGTGTTTGAACTGCTCGGAGAACACTTGCTAGCAAGGGAGGTTGAACATGGCCAGAATACCCGAATTGAATCACGGATGGTAAAAATTTTCAAGCCGTCAATGGTTCATGACAACTGTTGGAATCAGAATACTGCGATGGAAGGAATGTGTGAGGTTCTGACTAAAACACAGCTCAGAAGACTACAGAGGCAGGTGCAATTGGCTAAGGCTGACCAGGCCCTGACCAAAGAAATGTGAGAAGCGGCACACAAGTCCTGCCAAAGAAGTAGTAAAATTGGCTGATAACTCAGCCAAAAAACTGTTGCTTGACCGATAAGAACTAGAAGCCCATATGAACTCGGACGTAAAGGATGCAATTGACGTTTTCCCTAAAAGAAACCCTCATTTCTCTTAGACCGGCTTGGATTTCCTGAAGGAATTTCACAAAAGATATTCGACGACTGATCTCTACGGCATGATCCAAGAATGCCAAAAGATTATTGAGCTGGCCCTTAAAAATCCACAAGCCGAACGACTTTTGATCATCAAGAGCATAGACCCAGCAAGTTAGGCCCTCTATCAGGCAAACTACGAGGCCAAGACCAAAGGTTTTTCGTCATATCAACCTGATATGAAAAGGGTGCAAGCCAAGGCCCCAATCACTACAAGGGATTTGGCTTTCCTACGACAGTATTTTTCAATGGCCTCGGTCGACGCCCTTCTCGGTTTAACCTTAGAAGGAAAGATTTGGGTAAAAAGGATAGATGAGTATTTAGAAGCTAGAGATTCTTAGTTCGAAGCTTTAAAGCTTTTAGAGCGAGAAGCTAAATAAACCAAAAAGACAATAGATGAACGGTCGAACTCGGCTGACGAATCAATAAGGGAAGATGAATCAACAACAAAGGAGAGTTCGGCCATCATGGTTCAATTTTAGAAGCCAATAAGGTCGAAGATCCTTTGCTCGAGGAGATGAAATATCAACTTGCGATAGAAGAAATAGATTCAGTCGAAAGAGACCCGACCAAGAATCTCCAAGCAGCCAAACTTGACGAGCTGTATTCTTTTCTTGTAAAGTGAGACGAGGCCGAAGTTGACAGCTCCTTAGTTTTAGACAAAGTGGACATGAACATGGTGATGATTTTGCCTTATGAATTCCTAGCTCCCGAAGGTTAAGTCAGCTATCTTAATGGCGATGTATATGAAGGAAGGTCATGTTCCATAACAAGATCACCAGAGGATCTCCTTGCACTGGCTTTAGAGGAGATAATCCCCATGGATGGGCTGAACAAACATAATCATCTTAAGCCATTGCATATCCCGGCCCAAGTCGCGGAGACGCCGTTGTACAAAGTTTTTGTTGACTGCGGAGCCATGGTCAATATTCTCCCATGTTCAATGATGAAGAAATTGAGCAAAATGGAGAAAGACCTCATCCCAAGTTGGGTCACTATGAGAAGCTTTATCGGAGACAAATCCAATACCAAATGAGTGTTGCCATTAAAGATAATTGTGGCCAATCAGACACGAATATCGGCCTTCTATGTTGTAGACTCACATGTCAACTACAACATGCTACTAGGCCAAGATTAGATCCATCAAGCGAATTACATACCTTCCTCACCTTTTCAACTATTGTTCTTTTGGGACGGCAAGAAGGTGTTAATTCACCCTGCCGACCACAATCCATTTGATGTTCTTTTATGATAGGCTGAGATATATGATGATGATGTTGGTTGGATCACTTTGGCCAGACACGATGCAAGTAGCTGACCCATAAGAATCTCAGTCTAGAAGGTTCTTGAATTAGGCACCGAAAATGTTTGTCAGGACTCGGTGCGCGAGGTGTTGATAAACTTAACAAGTTTTTATAGAGTGACACCTCAACAAGGGAAGAAGGAGCAGCCACGATCCTCTACATGATGGAGCGACTGCTTGAGCATTGGGCCGAAGAATCATTACAACCGAACTCGGCCATGAATCTAATCGAGTTTTTACAAGAAGCTGGAGATGGCGAAGTTTTGAACATTGAAGACCTCGATCTGGCCCCAGTCGAGATGGAGGATAGTCATCCCAAGGTTTAAGATCCATTAATTGAGATCAACGTAGGAACTCAAGCCTACCCACAACCTCTTTTTACTAGCACACTTTAAGTTCTAAGTTGAGCGAGCAAGTTGTAAGTTTACTTCATGAATACAAGGACTATTTTGCTTGGCGTTACCACAAGATGTTAGGATATATGTCAACAAGCCAATCTCATTTTCCACGACCTGATTGGCCATACTGTCGAGGTATATGTCAATGATTCCGAGGTCAAATCAACATCTAGGGCTAGTTATGTGGAAGATATTCTACGCACATTCAAGCGAATGCGAGCGCACGAACTAAAGATGAATCCTAAGAAATGCGCGTTTGGCATTTCGGCCGAGAATGACCTTAGTTTTCTGGTCCACCATAGAAGAATTGAGGTGGACATGAATAACTGTATCATGATAAAGCTTGGTTCTTTCCTTATAGATGTTCACATGCTCATAGGCTTCATTCTGGAGCTCATTCAAGTCACTCACTTGCATCTTCCCATCTAAAGCATCAATTGTAAAACATTCAAAAGAACTTGAAGGTAGGACATGAATCAAACACTTTATATTTTACAATTTCGTCTAGGACTGTCATGGTGAGCTTGCCATCCTTCACATCAATTATTGTATTGGTTGTAGCCATGAATGGGCATCCCAGTAAAATAGGCAAGTATCAGTCATGCAAAGATGCATTCTCCATATCTAAAATCACAAAATCAGTAGGAATTAATAATTTATCAACTTGGATTAATACGTCTTCTACAATGCTTATTGTATATTTAATTGAAAGATATGCAAATTGTAGACATCGTAGTCGGTTTTAAATCACCCAAACATGACTAAAGAAAAATAGAATAAGACCTTAAATTAACACTAGCTCCTAAATCAAGCATGGCATTTCCCACTTTTGTATCACCAATAGTAATATTAATAGTAAAATTCCCTGGATCCTTGTGCTTGGGTGGAAGCTTCCTTTGTAGCACTGCGCTTACTGCTTCTAAAACCATCACCTTTCCATAAGGTTTATACTCACGCTTGTAAGTATTTAGGTCCTTAAAGAACTTTGTAAATGCTCACATGCTCCTAATCACATCAAGCAATGATAAGTTCACATTAACCTTAGATAAAATGTCATAAATGTGAGCCCTTGAAAAATTCCAGAATATTATTACGCTCACAATATTAATTGCACGATCCAATTTGAGATACAAATAGGTTTTATGATACTATTTCTTGAACTTGTTTAATCTAGACCGTTGATCTATTCTAGGATTAGATCAGAATCATAGGACCAAATCAAAGCGTTATAATTTGATATGGGCCATTGGATAGGTAGTTGGGAATGCATCTGGACCATCCATCTGTGAACTACCATGCTCATTCCCATGTGTTTCCGAAACTCAACTTTCAATCTAGACCTTCTAATTAAATATTTAAATTAATATGAACTATTCGGGTATTCTATAAATACCTCTTTGCTTCCATTTTTTTCACACCAAAAACTCTCCAAAACCTTCCTCCCTCTCTTCCTCTCCTCCTCCACCATTAAAGTTACTGTTCTGATATTCTTCGAAGTTACTATTTATTGAGCACTATTCATCTGAAACCACTATTCATACCCAAAATCTCTCGTCGTGTCTACTATTCATTGTTTCATGTCATCTTCACTCATAGTATTTTACCGAGGTAATTTCTCTTCCTTACCTTGTCTTTTAGTCATTTCAAATTCCATATTTCTTTTCTAAAGTGTATTTTGCCCAATTTAAAATTGTTAAATTCAATTAGTTCTATTTTCTTAAATTGTATAATTTTCTAAGTTATTCCTAAAATTAGACCCTTCTGCCATTACTCTGCCCGTTTGAATTCTGATTGAAACATTCTTATGGACCTATTTTCCATTTTCCTTGGACTATTATTATCGAACCGAATTATACCTATTTCCTTTGGTCCAGATGTATGAACAATATTAGACTATTTGGACATTTTGGATCGTATTACAATTACCTGAGACTTCAAGGACCTATGCAATTATTGGGCAATATGGGGACCTAATAAAATTGGGACAAAATTAAAGGACCAAAGTGCAATTAAAATAAATATAAGGACCAAAGTGAAATAAACACAAGTATAAAGACTTAAGTCCAAATAAGGAAATTTTTAGTAACATTTTTAAATGTTGGACTAGGACTCAATTTCCTAGGAAAGGCAGGTTGAGCTCGAAGGCGCAGAGGGCAAGTCAAGTTTGAGCTTTGGATTCAAAGTAAGGGGACTCACTCCCGGACTTGTATTTTTAGTGTCTGTATGACATAGTAAATATTATTGTATGCAAAAGTTGCATTGTTTTGGGATGCCATATGTGCATAGTTTTATGGATACTAGGGTTTGGATTTTTCCAAAGTTTTGAAGGGTATATGCATGCGGGCATTATCCTCGATGACTTGAGGGTGAATGGGGCATAACGACTTCCATGGGTTTTGATCCCCTAAACCTTCGGAGGGGCTACAGAGACCGACTTTTCCAATACCCTAAACGTGAGGTCTAGTTGAAGTAGTGTAGCCAGTAAATAGACACTCTCGCTATTGTACTAGGTAAGTTGGTTATATTTTTATTTTTGGTAGGGGTAGTTGGCCTATAGGGATCAGTCGTCAAACAAGCATATTGTGGGTACCAAAAAACCTTTGCGAAAGTTGTGTGAGCATGCCAACTGTTTTTTAATCCTATATTTATATGAAAAATAGTTTTGTGTTGTGCACTCTTTTCATTGTTTTTCTTAAACAATATTGTATTGTTTTTCGCTATTTTATTTTCAAACTTGGCTAGGAGCCCCTCTATTGGGCAGATGAACGTATGTGATGCTCACTCCTACTTTTCCTTGTAGATCAAAATCCTTGAGCATTATCTTATTGTTGTTTTCGGACCTGTCAACAACTTGTTCCTGTTCCTCGTCCATCTTCGACATGTCGTGATTTCCTCTCCTCGGAGTCGAGTGGTGCTTGTTCATCTTCCTCCTCTGTTTATAAATAAAGAATGGGTTGGCATGTATTTTCAATTTTTATTTGTAAAATAACTTTTGACATTTCTGGCACTGTTCGCAGCCTCTGGGGTTGGTTTCTCTTTAATAAATTTTTGTTTAATATTTTTATTTACTGCTGCTATTAAAGACTCTGATCCAACCCGTTTTAATTAAATAAAGGGCTTAACGTATTTTCAGAATCTTGGGAGTATAACTCCAGAAATTTGAATGTTATATTTCCGAGATCCTCAAGGTACATGTTGCTGTCATGTATCCTGATTTTGGGGCGTGATAGAAAAATGATATAAGAGTAAAACTTTGTTTTCAAAAGATTCTGAACAGAATTTTTACAAAATGTTTTATGAAAAAATTGAAGTTATTTTTCAAAAACACCCCCCAACCCTCCTTTTCTCTAAATTGTCGTTTGTCCTACAGTTCTTTCTCCTGTTGATAAGCCATTGTTTAAAAGTTTGTGCACGACCAAACCATACGGATCCTGAACAACTGGCAACCATCGTCCAAGCAGTGCTACAAGCTTTACTAATGAACTTGCTTTTAAGTTCATTAGTAAGAATAATATGTTCATCTCCTAAGAGCAAGCCTATTCTACAAAATCTAAGCTGTTTTCTTCCCAACACAAAAAAGATGCTCTTCCAACTAATCCATTGTCATCTCAGCCTCCTCCTTGCAAGCAACACTGTAAGATAGCCAAAAATTCTGGTATTTACTTAAATGATCCCAACAAATAACTAGTCAAAGGCACCCAAAAAAAAACAAGGGGGGGAGATGCGAGTAGAAAACAGGCAGTATCCTAATCCTTTGGAAGTAACAGTTCCTTGATCATCTAAACTTTTATTTGAAAAAAACAGACGATTTATTTATATTGCAATATCGCTCAATCCTGAAACAAATTGAAATTGCAGCTTGTGTCCCAACCGAAAATACACATATTTCAATAACCCATTCGATGAATGAGGTGTCTTGCACAGCAATACATCCGATGATGCAGTTCAATAGAGACATGACATGCATCAGTTTTCCTGTCATATGTATAATATATATTAATCGATCATCATCAGACTTTCATGGACTTCTTCTGTCCAGAAGCTACCTTGGTTAAAATATGCATCATACTTATACACACAAAGGGCACAGTGAGAAAAGTGTCAGTGATATTCTGTGTACAGGTGTTATTATTAATGTCAGAAACATGTGAAACAAAGAACCCGGTTTATGGCACAACAAGTAACTGTGCGGTTATTACAATATTAATCAGGCATCTCTTACCTTAAGCCTGACTTCTGTGGGTGAAAGTGCTTTCTTTGGGCTTAAAGGAACAGTGCTGAACTTGGGAACCAACACCTTAAAACACGGTAGAAAGAGTATGTACAGTGCGGCAAAAATTAAAGGAGCAGCAACGAGCCATCCCAACAACTGCAAAAATTGATACAAGTTAGACATGAAGGGTTCATAAACATAAATAGCAAGACAGAGAGAGAGTTATGATTACAAGATGTTAAGTTGGCAACCTACCGCATGCGCAATACTTAATAAGACCTCACGTGAAGCTTGGCCAGTTAAAACTTTCTTGAAAGCATCAGAAGTTAAAGGAAAATGAGCTCCACCAGAAATAATTTCACCAAAGCGCAAGAAAGGTACAATTAAACTTGACAGCAAACAAAAAAGCAATCAGAAATACAATCATATATGTAGCATTAAATGTAAAATGAATGATACAAGAGAAACTGAAAGCTGTAAGAGAAGTTCTTTTATGCACTATAACATGTTGTCTCTATTCTCTATGGCCTATATCAACAGACTACAGAAGAAACAATGTACCAAGTACGAGATCAACGGGCGCATGTACTGGCAGAACATCAATGTATTCATACCACAAGACCCTTAGATAAACGCAAAAGTACCTCAGTTCTATTGGTGTAGCAAGGACATTAGTCAGCATCACAGTTGGAGCATGGCAATGCGACCCCAGCAATGCAATAGCCATCCCACACAGAATCACAGTAGTCCCTGTTAATGAAACATTAGCTAATATGAGGTCGTGTATTTATTAACATTTTGAGAATCCAACATAAACTCAACTACTGATAAATCTCCACAACTAATCCATTATAACTACGAAGGGGGAATAATAACAACATCCTCCGCATTATATCCAGCCTACATTTTCCTAAATGAACCTTCCGCATGTTTAAATCTCAGATTGTAATTCCTTTCTGTTCTTTGTGCTGCAAGATAAAACTATGAAAATACTCTGAACAATGACTAGACTGTATTGAAACTAAATTCAGAAGCAAGAGCCATAGATCGCTGAAGATACAACATACCACATATTGGGAATACTCCCAAGGTAATGCCAAGAGCTGCAGAGAACGCCAACAGCTTAGGTTCTGCACCCCTTCATATCATAATGAAATAAAATTTTAGTGTTCTGTAATAAGATTAACAAATAATGACAACGAAGAAAATGTAATAGGTTTTTCCAATCAAATCAATAGCATATGAATCAAAATGCACAATATCCATTGGAGGATTGGTAGGCAATAATTATTTAGAGAAATAAAAGAAATACTTGAGCAAAAAAAAGATAGCAAAAACTGAATCTGAAAGAGAGTACCTGCGGAGGATTTCGAGGAGAGGATCAACGACCTTCTTTTTGAACCAAATGGACAACCCGTTATAAGCCATCGGAGAAATTTCGACTGATTCTTATTCTACTCTTTCCGTGAAAGTAGAATGCTGGGAATTGATTTGGGGGTTTTGTCAAGAAAGGAAAGCCTTGGATATGAACTTGGAATGCAGAGAAATGGAAAAACAAAAAGAAATGAATGGCGATGTCTTGAGTCTGATTGTCCTCTTTTGCTTTCCCACGTTTTGATTATTTAATTAAAATTGAAAATTTGGATCTGAATTTCTGAAACCAGTGAGATTTTATGTGGTTGGGTTTTCGTCGTGTTGGGAATTCAGATAGACGGACGCTCCTCTCTCAGACACAGACGGACCAAATAATAGAAAGAAAAAGTAAAGTTTGTGTTGAGAGGAGATCTCGCAGGGGAAGTAATAAGTTTCTATCCGGTGCGATACACGCTTAAGGTGCTAACCCCTCTGGGGCGTATGGCGTTGAGCAACGTCACGAAGTCTGTCTGCGTGGACTCTTGACAAATCGGTGTTTTTGTGAGTGAAAGTGTACGAAATGCAGAGGATATTTTCCCTCAGCTGATGACGACAAGTACCTCCTTGGAATGCTCTGTCCCGCAAAGCAACGTGGAGGTCGGATGTAGGATTCTATAATCGATATATATATAAAGTAGAAGGCAAAGGATGATGCAACATTTAAAATAGCATAAAATATTCTTAAAGATATTTCTAAGAGCATCCATAATGAGAGGGTGTACAAGGGGGTGTATGTTAAATATACACATTTTGTAGCCAGAATCATCTCTAATGGGAAGATATAAATGATTGTAAAAATACACCATGGAGATGTAAAATTAGATGCACATTATGGATGCATCTTTTTTTACATCCTTTACAGGCAGGACCCACAAGAGAAAAAGGGAAAGAGAATTATTGGAATTCAAAATGGAAGGCTTAGATTTCATGCAATTTGCATTGCACTTCCAATAGCCTAGATTTCTAAATAGATATTTTTATGTTAGTTTGTAGGTAAAATCATATATTCTCCAAATTTAAATTTTTTTAGGTCCATTTATTTGGAAAAATAAAATAAATCTAACACGCACAAGATTAATTTTAAAAAGTTAAAACATACCAAAAAAAAACACATAAAAAGAATTATCACAAACAAATCGAATATGCAATTTTGGATTTATATTATTTCCCATTGGAGCAAAAAACGTATTTACACCCCCTAGAGGTGTAAAGGGAATGTAAAAGTAGCTTTACACCCTCGAAAATACACCCCCTCACTGTGAATGCTCTAACAATATATAGATTGCAACAGAGTTATACGACCAGAACGGGGCTAGCAACAATATATAGATAGCTTGAATGAAAGGTACATGGGTTTGACGAGGTTTGTGTGGTGTTATTTGTGGGGTGGACAACGGCATCCCATGGTGAGGAGAATAACTTGCATGTCACAAGAATAGCGTTGTTTTATTATCTTATCCAAGCACATTCCATCATATAGAATCCTTATAACTTGTAGCAAAACGTGATTAGTTAGGGATAACAAAACAATGTTATTCCAGGATATTCAAATTTTTCTCTATGGTGAGACGTGTTGTTGAGGGTGTGGTGTCGGCAGAGCATTGCGGGTGTTCACCTCAACTAGTGCAATAGTCAATTAAAGGATCATAAATCAAAGTCAAAAGTAACAAAGTGCTAGTTTCAATCAAAATGGGCAACCACAATTTAAATCAATGCCTTATCCTTATCGGCCATGTTAATCTTTACCAAAACGATCGTAAAGTACTCATTCTATCATATGCTTCTTTTTCAGCATCAAATCTATCTCAGGACCTTTGAGAGCAGGAACCAACTACTTAACAATCGCTGTGTACATTGATATCTTCAGATTTCTTTCCTTATTTTTTGTTAGTGACCCGATATCTTCAGATTTTCAAAAATGCGGAATACCGATTTCCAGAAAAGTACAAGTCTACTTGGAAATAAATGGATATCATTCTGATAATGAGAAACCGTGCTCCAGACACTGTGTTCTGATATCTGCATTAGACCTTGAAGCATAGTGGGGTTGCTTGTAACAATAGCATCAACATGCTCATACAACATTTCTTGCATGGAATCCATATCATCAACAGTCCACGCATATACTTCCTTCTTTCTCCTGTTAAAACCCAGAATAATAAAGCATGAAATCTCATAACATGCATATACTCTAGGTACCACAATGCTTATTCCTCAAGTCAAAGTCATACCCATGTAGAATTCTCACAAGTGTCTCATCAATCAATGGGTGGTATACACCAACGACGCCAGCACCTTTCATCCTCAGTAAGTTGGTTCTGGCCCTGGTAGACGGATCAATCATAACAATGTACCCGACCTGGATCATCATAAGGCAAACGCTAACTCAAATTTTGTTCACTGACAGTTTATATCATAGTGCGAGACTGCAAACAATTTCATTGATTCAGCCCTGCAGGTGCAGGGACATGCAACAACAAACTGAAACAAAAGATCCTGCAAACTCAAAACTAGTAATGTGTTTAAAGACTAAAGTATTTGCACTGGGCCAAGTGGTTTTGGGCCGACGATAGTGCTGTACATCAGGTTTGTCTTTGAAGATCTAAAATCAATTTACACAAGAAAAAGGTCATTATACTGCTTAAAAAATAAAAATTGAACTGACCTGGTTTGTTAAAAAAAAGGGGGCTTATGCAAATGGTTCATGGTAATGATAGGTCCAGAAGTTTAGAGACCCAATAGACAGTAATTAAATTCAATCTACTATATGAGACGGGTCATTGTATTCCTTAAAAAAACAAAAATAGAACTGACTGGTTAGTAAGAAAAGGGCTAATGCAGATGGTTCCAGAGAAATTGCTAGGTCCAGAAGTTTAGAGACCCAATCAAACATAACGACCCAGAAGGGAGAAGAAAACTTCAGAAAAAAGAAAATTAATATTAATAATCACTTCCTCCTGTCAGCTTCATCTTCTCAAAATCTTGCCACAAGTGTTTACATTTGTCAACAGAAGTTGTGACTAGTGGAGGGTAATGACGAGCAATCTCAAACTCTTTGATGCAGGGCAGCGGCTATAAGCTGCTGTCCAGCGACCCAAACATACCCAAAATACAGAGAATAGAAGGATAAAGCAGTAGAATCGAAGTTGGAACGAAGATAATTGAGTTCTAGGGCAAAATCCCAACAGAAACTCTATAGACTAACGTCTGAAATTATATTCATCAACAAAACTAAATACAAGAGTCTCTAAATAGCCTATTTATACTAGAATACACCAGCCTAGAATTCCTATTCCTAGTTTAATAAGAAATCCTAATTGACAAAGGAAATTAAAACCTAAACAGGAAAATAAACCAAATCCTAGTAAGAATAGGAAAACAAGTAATAAAATAACCTATTAATTTAATATAACTAAAACTTAGCCTTATTGGCTGATGCGGTTCAATATCAAGGCCAAAGTTCTATGGACAACTTATCTAAAAGGAGGTTATGTCTAGGCGGTTTTCACCAAACGATTGGAATTCGAGGAAGAATTCTTCCCAACCCGGTGGAGTTGATGCAGGAGCATCTATTAGATTTTCCTAATCTAAGTGGGCATCAGCCAATAAGGCTAAGTTTTAGTTATATTAAATTAATAGGTTATTTTATTACTTGTTTTCCTATTCTTACTAGGATTTGGTTTATTTTCCTGTTTAGGTTTTAATTTCCTTTGTCAATTAGGATTTCTTATTAAACTAGGAATAGGAATTCTAGGCTGGTGTATTCTAGTATAAATAGGCTATTTAGAGACTCTTGTATTTAGTTTTGTTGATGAATATAATTTCAGACGTTAGTCTATAGAGTTTCTGTTGGGATTTTGCCCTAGAACTCAATTATCTTCGTTCCAACTTCGATTCTACTGCTTTATCCTTCTATTCTCTGTATTTTGGGTATGTTTGGGTCGCTGGACAGCAGCTTATAGCCGCTGCCCTGCATCACTCTTGCTATTATTTTACTATTTGATATGAAGAGGGTCTTCACAATTGCTAGATATGTAAATATATCTGGTTCACAAAGTAAACATGATATGTATTTTGCGGTGAACCACACGTAGTGATATTTCCAATCATGGTTACTTCAGTTTGGATTATTCAACTAAAAAATAAACCTATACACACACACACACACAAACATATTTACTTTGTTTGTTGAAGGTTCTCCAATCACGGGTATGTCTACGACTCTACACTCACAAGGCCACATGGACCAAATGGCGAACCTCAAATGAATGGCTCACAAGTTTCGAAGTAATGCACAAAAAGAAAAAGAAAAGAGAAATAAACCTTCAGGCACTTTAAAAAGAAAAAGAAAAGAACAATTAAAGAATTCTATATCTTTTAAGGAAAATAAAAATTTTTAAAAGAAAACTAATTTTACATGTAGACTCCTGCTACTCAAGAGATATGATGCTTGCAGGTAAAAGGAACCTACAGCTTGATCAAAATTATGCATGTACGGAAACCACCCTCTCGAGATAAAAGTCCCTCAACTAATCAAATTCAGCAATGAACACAAACCAAATCATACCTTAAATTCAAACATGTCTCTGATAAATCATGCAAGAGACCAGAAAACGGAAATTGTATGTTGCTAGTTACCATGATATCTGATGATAGTTTGATTACATCCCTTGCTAAATTGTCGCTTTTAGCCCATACTAGGCAATTCTTACACTGCATCCTCTTAACCTGGAAAAAGTTTCATTGAGAAGCTTGAGGCAACTTGGAAAGCCATGTCAATTGAAATTACACGTGTGTGAATAACAATAACAATAAGGTAGCAATAATAAATAATAAAGATAAAATTTCCTATGACTTCCGTGAACATGTAGATGTTGACTATGTTTTGTACCTTTTAAGTAAATTGTGATTTTAATGATTTAAAGATATAGAATAAACAAGGGTGGGAAAATGAAGCAAAAAAGAAAACTTACAACAGAAAGAACATCGCTTGCAAGCCCTTTTTCATATGATGGAGGCCCGACCTTTATATCTAGAATCACCCGCCGGACTGAACTTGAAATTACCTGCAACAATATTCAGAATCATAGTCAAAGAGCAATTGGGGACGGAGGCAGCTGCTAGGGCACACCAAAAGGATCATTTGCAAAGATTCAAAACTATCATTGAGAGAGCATAAAAGGAGTTCATGAAAGATACCTCCAAAGCCTCTTCAATTGTAGGAACATTTTCATCTGGGAACTTCCTTGCAGATTGATGCACAGAACCAAGATCTTTTATCTACAACCACAAACTAAATATATATTCTCAATCAACATTATCACAAATACCTAACAATATAATTTAAAAATACAGACAATATAATGTTCTAAAGAACGCCAGGATAGAAAGATTGTATATCATATTTTACAAGAAAGCCAGATAGCAAAGAAAATTCACCTCTTTCACACTTAGGTACCCAACCTTAGAAGCATTGTTTCCAGTTAACCGCTGCAAATCCCTGCCTGTGTAATTTGAGAATCAAATCTACAAATACAATTCTAACAAATGATACTCCAACAGAACCTAAAATAATATGATCAAACTTTTAGTTGACATAGTATTTTGATGTCATGTCAGAGATCCAATAATACCTAAATCCTCAGAATTCGAGTTGGCTGTGAACATTCAAACACAAGCTTCATTTCTTTGGTTTGCTTGGTTACAACTACACTTCAAACATCCGGATGATCAATGACGAGCCTTTGATTACTAAGGTGCAAAAACTGTGTGCATTTTAACCTTGAAACTTCATGACTAAGGTGCAAAAACTTCTCAATTTCATTTTTTCTTATGTTTATGAAATCACATGGATTAATAATCTGTGTGGTTTGGACTCTACGGTCATCTAGTGTGTTATTAGATAATAAAATGATAACAGAAAGTTCATCATATATTTTTTGTTGTTCATAAAAGAAAGTTATTTGAAAGTAATTGTTAATAATAAGGTAGTCGAATAGTGTAAGATGACAATCACTAGATAAGGGGTAAAATTATGAACATTATGTGAACCAATGTACCTGTCATGGAGCGCAAGCAGAACTCCATCCAAAGAACGAGAAACGTCAATCTCAATGCAGTCTACTGAGAATGAAGAGCAAATGATATGCAGCCATCTGTTTAGTTGTGAACAATAATAACATCATGTGAGAGAAAGAGATAGTGAGAAGGGGCAGGGAACTCAACAATCAGAACTTTAAGAGAATAAATTTCTCACAGTACAAAAAGTTTGATCTATTTTACTCAAAGTTCAATTTTATAAAAAACAACAGAAAATTTGGTTGCTGCTTATTCATGGGCCTCACCTATTCAACGGTTCTAGGAGGTAAACATGTAATCAATTGTTGATCCTTTACAGGTTAACTTGGGGAGGGTGAACCCAAGCTATGCCCCAAGTCAGGCCAAAACTTTTAGTCACTAAATTTTTGTTGGACAATACTGAATACTAAATTACCCAACCAACTAAATTAATTAATTAAGATTGCGAGCCTACCGTGTTAGGGAAGGCCTTACTTGAGTCACCCCCATGCGCGCACACAAGAGGAGGCTCATTTAGCCAGCCACACTTTCTTAACTGCGTCTGTAGAAAAATTGAAACTTACAAAGTAAATATTTGAGTATACAATGAAAAATATTATAAGTTCTACACATTATCTAAGTAAAATGACGCATTTTTCTCAATGAATATAAGAGAATTTTTGTTTCCATTTATGAGCATGCACCATTACTACATTACACAACTTGATATGCCCAGCCATGAAAGAATACATCAATCAGTTTGTTGCCGTCACAATCTACTTACCTAGAATCGAACACCCAAAAATTAATCCAAGAAATGCAAAAAAAGAGAAGTTTTATTAAATCAAAAGACAAATATAAATTTAAGAACTCCTTGTCTTTTCTAAAACGTTGAGTAACCCAAACGAAACATACTGCCATTTTGCCCAAATCAATTAAGCCAAAGCCATTATTTCAACAAATTGCGACCGCCCACATAAATTGTTTTCAGCCATTCAGCCCCTATCAAATCCAACATTCTCAGCTTTAAGAAAACAAAAAACTCATAGATACATACAGTATACATATGCGCTTGAGCATAAACACAAACATCTATGAATGAAAATGTCAAAATTAGCCTATGGGTCTTTTCATATTAGTACAAAAAAACGTATAGAGTGTAAAAAGAAAAAGAGCTTACCTGGTGAAAGCGTTTGAGCTTGAAGAAGAAGAAAATGGGAGGGACAAAAGCGATGAAGGCGAGACTTATGAGAATCGCACGAAATACTCTCTTTGACGAAAATCTGAAGAGAAAGGCTCCGAACCCAAACCGCTGCTGCCTCTGCTGGAGGGATAGTCGCCTTCCCAATCTCGTTGAGATCGCCATTTGGATCGTACAGAATGACCACTCAAGTGTGAGCGAGAGGAGAAGTCACATATATTTTATTTAATGACCGATATGTACTTATTTTTTAACCATTTGTAACATGTGTTGAATTTTTTTTCTATTACCTAAATTAAAAATAAGGATAAAATAGTTATTTGTTTCAGGAAGGTGGAAAACTAATTATAAATATGCGAGTTAAACTAGTGATTAAGAAAATAAATCCGCTTCTCCCTCGCATATATATTTTTAGACAGTCGGCCATATTTATTTTTGAACAAAAAAAAAAGAGACTATCGCATATATAAAAATCAAAAACTAATATATAGGTTCGAGAAAGGGGAGCTCTGAAACAAAAAGTAATTTTTCTTAGATCTAAATTTTCTGCCTTTCGGCCCAGTAAAAATCAGCCCACATCAACTCAGGGACTAGCATTATTTGTTTGGGCTGGGTTAGTAAGGGGTTCTATCACGCGATCAGTTCAGAGCCTCCATCTTCTACTTCTTAACTTTCCCTCCAAAAATCCCCAATCGTCGCATACTCTCGCTCGCTCTCTGTAAGAAAGTAAAGAAGAAGAAAATGGAGGAATACTTACAGTACATGAAGACATTGCGTTCTCAGATGAACGGTGCGTTTCGATCTCTGTTAAGATTACCTTACACAAATATGATTCGATTGCTTTTTTTCTTTTTGATATGAAAATTATAGATGTGGAGGATCAAGCTGCGAAGGTCTCAGTGGAAGAGCAAATGCAACTGACCACCATTCAGACCTTGGAGAGCGATCTCAATTCTGGTTCTTCTTCTTCTTCCTGTTCGCATTTATAATTTCTGCTTATTTTTACTCAATTTTTCCGAATGAAAAACTTAATTCGGATTATTTCACTTGTAATTTCGTTTTTTAATTATTTCTTAAAATTTATGAATAATCTGTGAAGAGTAATTCAGCAAAACTTTATTTGTTAATATCTCTTCTAGTTTCTATTTGTTTTAAACTTCCACCCTCAACTTCTTACACATATATCTATACAGTTTTTTTTATATAAAAAATTCGGAATTTGCAATTCGTGAGTATTTGTGTTTAGTTGATCATCGATGAATTTTAAGAATCTATTTTATAAGGCATTTTCTGAATTTTTTTTGTGTCTGAGCTCTGACCACTTGCCATGTATATAAATCTTTTAATTTTTTTTAAAAAAATATGAGTAAAATTAAGATTCCTTTTCCGTTTAAATTTGGTTAATATCCGTATTTTCTTTGTCCTAATTAATTTCTAAAAGTCAAAATAGATTTATTTGTTAAGTAGCATAATGTTCTAAATTGCTTGTATTTCGGAAAGGGAAAAACTACACATACTTCAGTAGAGAATACAGCGGTGCATATATAATAGTTTGGTTTCACATCAGAAGATCAATTCAAGTTGGAAGATATTTCCTGCTTCTAGTACCAATATGAGGGCCACTATTCAGCTTTATCTGCTAGCATGACTTGCTATATCATCTAACCTTTTTTATTTGTGTATTATTATTTCTCAAATGCTGGAACGTGGACTTTGCATCCCAGCTTCCTACTAGAGTAGCCTCATCTAATATGTGAACAAAATGCCTGTAATTTTTAAAGGACATCCTTGATACTTTTGAATCAGGTCTATCTTGATTCCATGCTAAAACTGTCTACTCTTGATTCTTGGTCACATGAGTAGTGAGAAGTTGTTGCTTGGACAGTGAGATTTAAGAATGAGATGCAAGGGTTTCTGTTTTTTATAAGTCCTGTATCGCACAGGATTTTGGAATCAATTATGGATCAAATGTCGTTCCATAACAGACTGTATCTAAGCTGTATTCCTTTCTGGGTTTTTAATTCAATTTTATTTTTCCTTACAGTAGTGCGGATGTTACAGTCATTTAAGTTTTCTTTTATTTCAGTTAGTTGTGTATTTGTAATCCAGCATTCGTCATTTATTGCATTTCGAATAATTTAAATGTTTTCAGTTTGAGAAGTGAAATCTGAATATAATTTTACATTTATTTTCCAGTTAGTTGTTTTAACACTTTTGAACTGTTTACTCATTATTGTTGCAGCAATATCTGAAACAAAACGATTCATGGAAGACATTGAGCATATGAAGAACACGAAGGGTCAAATATGTTCACTGATTTTGAAGAAACAGAGAAAGATAGCTTCTTTGGAGTCTGATTCATCCACCCTTATCCAGGTAGTCTTTTAGTGCGCGTGTGGCTTGCCATATTCATATTGAAAGTTAATGCAATTATCAATCAAATTGAAAGTTGTAATGCTCAAGAAATATTTTGATACCTATGTAGACTTTGGAGCTTATCGAACAAGAGAGGACCAACTTATCTTCCAAGCTTATAGAAAAAAGGTAATTCAACATGCAAGTTAAATTGATTGAATGCAGCTGATATCACATATCAACTTATCAACTTTCCATGTTCGTCATAACAGCACTTACTACATGAAGGTTAGAGAGGATATCAATGCCAAATTGCAGCAACACCAGGTTTGGTTTTGGAGTCACATCTATGCGTATTTGTGTTGTGTTCTATGCTCATTGCATTTAGAGTTCCCCTTTTCAATTTTGATCAGGATTGGGTCTATTCTCATCACACTCATATGGAACTGGGAGAGGATGGAATGGTACACCCTCATGTTTTCTTTCATCTTTCTTTATTTACATATGTAATATAGCTCCTTTGGTGTGGTTGGATGTCTTTCTAGTTTTCTCTAGTAGCTAGGTGTACAATTCCCTCACTTCTTTGACTTGATGTCTTGATTGAAGAAAGGGTAATGTTCCTATTATGGAAGTTATTTTTCATCCTATCTTTGAGTGTAATTCATGAATATATCTTCCCATACTTTGACATATTATGAAGCTCTTGTAACTGCTGCTGAGTCGTTTTTATCTTTCTTGCTGTTGCTTCTGCTTTAAAGTTTAAAATCGTGCAGCCAGAAGTTAATTGTGTTGCAGGACTGATTAGAATTTATGCAGGTTAAGGAGAGATCTGATGAGCAAAGAGGTGAGTTTCAAGTTATGGCTTTTATACTCTTACTATACCCCCTTCTTCTATCATCAAGAATCTGTAGTGTATAATATAATTGAATGGTGACGCGAGCAAATGAAATGTGATCTGTTAACTTAAAGTTATTTATGCTGTCTAAGTTAAGTCCTGAACGAAAGCTGGTAATCCATAACCTGTTGCACTTTAACTGTTGATTCTTCTGAAGTCACTGTTTACTTGCCTTTGCACCCTACCTTTTAAATGAAAATATGTAATAATCATTCAGTTTAAGAAAGAAGCATGGCCTTCCTGGCAAAGACGCTTGGTATTTATAATTTTATCCTTTTTTGTTTTTTTCTTTTCAAGGTAGCATATAAATTGAGGTATTTATCATGGGTTGTGAACAACTTGCCTCAATTATACATCAGTGATAGGGAAATATCTTTTGCTCCATGTTATGCTAGCACCGTGCCTTGTAATTAAAGATGAAGTCTCTTGAGGATAGTAGTTTTACTCAGGAATATAATTTTTTCAACTTCTTCATAAACTGTACTTCTTTGCAGGGAAGGCTAGCTTTGATAACCACCTCAGCATGGGCAATCAGGTATGAAACTACTTTCATTGATCCTTGAGATGTATGGAGCTATATGCAGTGGCAACCTCGTGACTTATTTTTAAATAACAGGGCAATGATGCAAGGAAGAACCTAATGGCCATATTGGACTCTGCTAAAGCCAAGCTTGATGAGATTTTAAAGATGAAATCTGAACTTGTTATAGAAAACCGCAAGGTTGCCTCTAAACTGGGATGCTGTTCCACTAAAATTAAGATGTATTGATTCTTTCTTTTAGATGGGGTACGCATAAAGGATATCCTGCCAGAGAGTCTGACATGCTGCGTTCTTAGATTGTCAATTAGGGCAATATTTAGACATGATAACCCTAATCAACAGTCTTGATTTGCAGTTTGGCCACATACATGTTGGATTATCCAATAAGAAAATTTCTTTCTTTTTCTCTGTCTGTCTGTCTGTCTGTCTCTCTTCCTTCTATATATGTATATATTTATAATGTTAATAAATGGACACCTACTGTTCTGAGATTCAATTTGACTTGAAGTGAATCATATGAAGTTTACTCTGCTTCTCACATCATTAAATTAAAGTTGCAACTATTTGACATCTCTCAGAGATTTCTGCTTTACAACTCAAGGTGTGATTGTTTATTCATTGTGAAGTTTTATTTATTTATGACTTTATTCTCCTGAAAGAGTATTTTACAAAGCTTAGTTGTTCTTGTTCTCTACTTTTCCTTGTGAAAAATAAAAAATGATGTCTGTCTAGCAAAGAAGAAAAATAATAGACAAGAAACGTAAGGAAGCTAATATTTTCTAAAGCACCCTCATTCTTGTGCTGCTTTCTTGTGCCAATTCAGATGAAACAGGCTATTGAGCAAGCAAATTGCAGGGAAAATGATTTTAAGGTCAGTTGTTTTCTCAATACAAATAGGTGCAGTCTTTGTGCATGAATGCATGCCTGTGAGCATACTGTAATCAGATGAAGAACACATTTAAATTTGTTGCTAAGATATACTCTGTGAGGTTGGCACAATGGCATCACGCCAATTTTTTATTTCTTTTCTCACAATGGGTGATTCCAGCCAGAGCTAAGGGCAATGGATGTAAACACCCTTGAAGAGGAATACGATGCCCTTCTATCAGATAAAGCTGGAGTAACTGAATACCTGAAGTCTCTGCAGGACCAAATTGAGAAACTGAAGGTGACTGTTTATCAGGTTTTTCCTTGGTGTTTAAAGATTACAGAAAGTAATAACCATGTGATCATTTGATGATATGGCCAATCAAACTGGCCAAAGCTGGGTCTGTGGAAGGAAGGGTTATTACTGAAATAGACATGAAAGGGAATTATCTGGCATATGGTGCATAGTTTCCGTGGAAATTTCATGGTTTGGATATTTGTGATTATTGAAGTCTAGGGTCAGTGCATATATTTAACGAAGACGATTTTTTATATAAATTGTATACTTTCGTTCGTTGAACCTGTGCTGTTTACAGGAAATATCTCATGTGGTTAAATGTGCTTGTGGAGAGGAATACAAAGTGGTAGTGGACTTTTGTGTATAAAAACTTGAAACTAGGGCATGAATTTGGGCAAGATGGAAGGCTGAGAAATGGAATCATCAGTTGGCTGGACTACTTGGTTTGCTGTTCAGGTAAGTGTCCAAACAAAAGTAAAAAACAATTTCTGATACCTTAGTTGCAACAAGGACGTAATGATATTACTTTAGTTGTTGGTACAGTGTAAGTTGAAAGTAGTTTGTCTTTAGTGAATAGACGTTATTTCCATTGCAAACACTATATTGTACATGAAAATATGTTTGTGTCTTAAGTGAATGGTGAATTTCATTAGTTGTGCTAAATCTATCATTCAAATTTTTGATAAATTGGTTCTCTTAGAGAAAATGATGAAACATGGCATTGACATTCACCTATCCAACATGGCTTTTTTATAGAAATATATCTGCCATTATTCACCACATGTATATAGGTGAGTTTTGTGTTTCATAATTATTAAAATGAAATACGATTGGCCTAACAAATGCTTAAACAAAGCACTTTATGGTGTGTTTGAATGTCTAGTAGACAGTATTTCATAGATGGGAGCCCTTTTTGTATTAGTTAGTAATGAAATTAAAAGATGCACGGAAAAATGGAAATTTCGGTTATTTTATATGTATATACTTGCAGAAACCGAAATTACTTACAAGAAGTTGAGATGTATATTCTCTTATGTGTGGTACTCAGACTTGTGCTTGAGTTGTCGAAATATATTCCCTATATAGAGAAGCAAAGGAGAAATAATGGAAAAACTAAAATCACTTGATCCCCATTGCTTCAATTGCTGCTGAGATATCATGGGCTTGATAGCTCTCCACGAGGACAATGTTAGGGCTATCTTGTGGGACTACATCTTCTCTTTTGAAACTATCTTCACCATGAACAAGCTTCTCACTGCCATACTCAACCGAGCTTCTTAGAACTAGGGTCTTATGGAGGCCAGCCAGCAGGTCTTCATAATCTGTATCTCCTTTTTCCCCAACAAACACAACCACTTTGGATAGATCAATTCCCCACCGGATGGAAAGATATCTACATAGCACAAAAGAACAGTAATTTAATCATAACTAAGCATTTTGTTGATGTCTTGCATAATATAGTAAGTAAATGAAACCCAACCTTAGTGCTTGTATTCTTGATGCAACTAGTGGTACAACATTTAATCTTGATGCTACACGAGTGTAGACAAGGTTGCACCGGAAGCCCCTCATCCGCAGCCTTTGGCGCACGTCATCGACCCTTCGAGTCTGAAATTGATACACCAGATCATTATAAAAATTTATGAAACTACAAATGTATGTCTTAAGGCACCACTTTCCATTGAGGTTGGTAATTTTTCTACAGCATAGTAAGTTTCTCACCTTGGCTTCTGGTTTCACATTATAAGAGTAGCACCGAGAGCTACTTGATCCTGCATACTCCATGATGTCATCCTCAGCCCCAACTTCTAACGTGGCTAGCCTTGGCACCATAGACCTCACATTCTCTCCAGGCCATCTATACTCAATATGGATTTCATAATCTGCATCAGCTGCCAAATCCCTCCATGGGTAATACATTTCACTCCCACTTTTGCAGACCAACGCATCAAAATCTTCTATGTTTACTTGGCAGCCTTTAAATGATTTGATGGTCTCTTGTAAACTTGAACCAGTTAACAACACAAAACCTACTTGCCCCTGGCCATAGCCTACGCTTGCTGCTTTCTTTACACTCATCAGAGTTTCCTGAAATATCTGGGCACCATCTCCATTCTGGTCATAACAATCAATGGCTATTACAAATAGCCTCTGCCTTCTACCAGGACCATAATTAACACCGGTATTGCTGTTGGATGAAGCCATTCTAGTTATGGCTTCAATGAGTTCCCTCTGTCTCGTTGCTGCATCAAGCTCTCCATTATGCTTGAAGTCTCCCTCTACAGAGAATCTCAAAGAAAGGTCTTCCACATCTTTTAGAGAGTCACTCAATGGTTCTTCAGGAATTGGCATGATCTGAAGGCGGGTAGTGGGGTGGCGGTGTCGGGAATGTTCAACATGGGAGAGGTAGTTTCGGCAGTGTTCTGTCCACGAAAAGCGGTGGATGTTCTTTAGGCCATTCTTTCTGCATTCGAGCCAGAGGTTTTTGTCTCCAACAAGCTTTAGAAGTGCATCTTCTATGGCTTTCTGGTCGTGTGGGTCAACTAGGAGGCCGTTGTTTAGTGCCTGATAGTACAGAGTCAGCTACCCATTAGTTCTTTAGACATAAAGTGATACTAATTGTACCACATTGTCATAGAGATTGGACTCATCACATCTCTAATAGAAGTGAGACCCACACATACAATTGTGCTCCACCTCTATTATGGAAATAATGTGGTAGAAATAGTATTCTTAGACATACATCCGCACCTGCACGTTTTAGTCACATGGAATCTTGAAGGTTTTTCTTAAACTTCCAAATACATTATTAGTAGGTTATATTATAGCAGACTCCTAGAGGTTTGTATATTAGGACATGTACTAGTTACCTTTAGAATATCGACAGGTCCTCCATTTTTCGTGGCGACCACTGGTAAGCCATAAGCAGCTGCCTGAAAACATAATCACATGAATATAAACATGTAAATCGTTTTGAGAGAAAAACGTAGGGGAGGGGGTTGTTTGGGTTTGTAATTACAGGTTCATAAGATTATCCCTACTAGAGCTTAGAGGCTAGAGGTGAAGCATAAAATCAGCATAGGCTAACCTCTATAATTGTGAGACCAAAGGGTTCCACGAGAGCTGGGTTGATGAAAACACCCTTCAATAGAATTCCCCATAAAGTGTTACTGTTAGTAATTTAGGTGTTGAAAAGAAAAGACTAGCAGGTAACTTGTGCATATTAGAAAAACAAATAATCCTGGGTCCATCTATTAAGAAATAGTTGAGGCCCTGTATCACACAGTATCCACCTTTGTTTTGGCAGCTAGACGATATATGTCAGGCACATCCGATTGCTTGTGATGCTTGGGATAGGCCACTTGCCCATACAAATCATACTTGTCAATGAGCTTGAGCACGGTTGTTAGAACAACTGAGCTGCTATTTGACGTTTCTTCAATGTCATCTCTGTTACCAAGTATTAGTGTCTGCATAAACAATAGGTGTTACCAAGTATTAGTTTCTGCTTTAAACAATAGGCGATGCTCCGTATTTGGTATTCATCAGTATTATTTACTGTATTGAAGCCGATTTGAGTTATGGGAAATTAAAGTGTGAACTTTACCAAGTTGGCTAGCTCCCGTAGAGCTTGGCATTCCCCAAATGCCTTGAGCAATGTAGTGACATTTTTCTTGGGGTCAGGACGAGAGAGTGCAAGTATGGTGGGCTTGTGAGGGTTGGTGAAAAATCGCATGACCTGCATTGCAACAAACAAAACAAATGGCAGACATTTCTAATTAGGTTCCTTGATTACCCACATGTGAAGTGAAACTAAATCCCTTTTGTTATCAATAGGTAATAACGTGCATATTATAAGTCTAAGCCTAGTTTGTTTATAGGAAAAGCTATGTAGGAGATTGTAGACTGTTTCGTTTGTTTTCTTTTGTATAACTAAATGAATGGGGTGGGAACATGTGAAAGGAAAAAAATAGGTGGAAGAATATGCAACCTCGGACCATATTGGAGGCAGATGCCTTTTGTTTTGACCTCTGTCAGAGCCAATCAATGATTTCAGATCTCCATCTCCTTCCGTATCTTGGGCTATAACATAGCTGAAGTCCATGCCTGGAGGTATAACCTAACGCCACCATCACGTAGTGATTAGTACGTAGAAGAATTTGGAAAGAAAAAAATGAAGTTTGAGACATGGCAGTGTTTAGTCATGAAAAAGCCAAGCCACAATCAGTGATAATGAGGAGAGGAACTGTGCAGTATGCATACCACCATTCTTGGCATGTATCGTCCAAGGCAGCTAACTCCACGACGCCTCCTAACCCTGAGCTTCCTCTCCAACTTGAGATCAAAGCCGTCATAGAGTCCCCATTGCTCCTCAATCTCTTGCCTTGTGCTGGTGACCACCATTTCAGCAGAATCCAATCCCAGCTCCTCAGCCTCGATCCTCTTCATGATTTTGTAGGTTGCATTGATGTCTCCCTTTGATAACCTCCCTTGTTTGAGCAATTGTTCAAACTTGTTTCGGCCTAATGAATGCCCAGTTAGCACCATTGGCACGTTCAAGGCCCCAGACAAGTGAGCAGCCACCTCCCCACCATCAGCATAGTGGCCATGGATCGCATAAGGCCATGTCGGTCTCCCTCCATTGACTTCTTCACCAAGAGCTCTTGCCATGTTCACAATGTGGCCGAGAGCCCCGTCAACGAATTCAGGTATGTGAGGCCAAAGTGACTCTTTAGGTATGTACCTGCAGGCAGCATGCCTCAATCAAATTCAAGTATGTATTCTTCATCTTCACCATAATCAGTGTGATAATCAGTAGACACTAGGGTCATAGCGTTAGGGTTGAAGACAAGAGAAGAGCGAGTTATTACTTGTCACGGGGCCCACATGGGATTCGGACAATATAGGCTCCACAGCTGCCGCTGCCATCAGGTGGACACATGAGCATCTCATTGGGTTCACCGTAGCTAGAGTCTACCTCCGGTGAAGTAATTTGTCTAGTTAGCAGATCAACTCGGTAGACTCCTTTTGTATTGGCCAGAGCACGAGCAAGTTCCACCACATATTTCACCTAAATTAATAGCTACCAATGTAAGTCCATAATCCAACATACTTTTTTTGATGATCTTAATTATCATTTAGTCTAATTCTTAATCAGTATATTATTGTTATTATCACCTGACCACCTGTATCAGAATCTCTTCCGAGTTCCATGTTTTCTCCACGAATCAACCCATGAATGCTACAACAAGGTAAGAACAAGAAACATAAAACAGTATGAAAAATTATGCAATGCTTTTACTTAAACTTGCTGTATTTAGTGAATGAATGAATGAATGAAATACCTGATTAGGACAATGTAAAGAT